CTGGAACCAGTGAGCATCATTGGAAGATAGACAGGCGGCGGGGGGTGGGGAAGGCACGCACGCACAGGGATGACAGACATTTCAGCCAGTACTTAAAAGGATGGCCCAGGGTGCAGTGTTATCTGGTGGAAAGCAAGGTCTGGGAGTGCCAGAAGATAGAAGGAACCTAAGAAATGGGTCTAAAATGAAAGGAAGTTTGTTAAGTATGTAACAGGCATTGCAGAGGGCACAGTAGAAGGGATGGATAGTAAAACACAGAGTAGTACACTAGTGGGTAGGGCTGAACCAGATAAGAATGAGAGTGTAGACAGCTCAGTTCATGGAGGATGGCTTGTTCTTCGTAGTTAGGGATTCAGGGTTATCAGAATGAGAAGAGTGTGGGAACTGGCTGACCACTGAGGAATGAGAGTATCAGTAATAAAAACAATAATAATGTTAGCTAACATTTCTATAGCACTTACTATGTGCCAGGCATTGTGCTAAGCACTTTATAAACAGCCTATTTGATCTTCACAACAACCCTGGGAGATTAAGTGCTTTTATTATCCTCATTTTACATATGAGGAAACTGAGGCAAACAGAGTTAGATGATTTGTCCAGGGTCATACAACTAGTAAGGGTCTGAGGCTGGATTTGAATTAAGGTCTTCCTGACTCTAGGCTCAACCTTCTACCCAACTGTACTACCTAGCTGCCCATCTCTCACTGCTGAAGATAGGTGATTAGAAGCATCAAGACCTCGGCACAGCCCTTGACTGGATCCCAGTAGGGTCTTGATAGGAGGTCCACAAATCTATTCCTCCAGGTAGTCAGGGTCTGGAGATATTGTGAGTTGTATGTTCCATGTCTATGGTGAGCCAATAGTGCCTTCTGCAGAGACTAAGAGAGCCCATTATATGAACCTTATATGTTACTCTCCATGGGCTAATGAACCAGGCAGACACAACGCTCTGCTAATAAAATAATTAGCCCTCTTTATAGAATATAAGCTCTCTCTTTCAAATATCATGAACACTCTTTTAATAATGTAAATAATATAAGCACTCTTTTTGAAAAATTTTACAGATCTAGGATGACAGAAAACGAGAAGCATGGTGAAGAGATAACACTGAATGATTCAATTATACTGCTGTGCTCTGGAAAAGAATTCCTCCTTTGTTCAACTCCTTTTCATTAATGCTTATCAAGGATTGGTCTTCGTACCCACGGTGCCAGGCATATAGCAGGCACCTAAATTCAACTGAGCTTCCCACACCATTGGCCAATAGGAATGTGACCACTAGCTTGCTGGTAGCGTTTGCCTTGCCTGTTAATACCAAAGCACAGACTTAGGGCTAGGAGGAACTTTAGAGGGCAACCCAATTATTTTACAAATGATAAAGTTGAGACCCAGGGAGGGCAAGTAAAGTGACTCACCCAAGATCACATAGGTAGTGAGCAATGGGTGAAAGGGGGTGAGATTCAAACCCCAGGCCCTCCCCGTCCAACATTCTTCCTGCTATGACATACTGCCTCAAATTTAGCCACATTTAGTTTTGAATAGGTGCCAGTGATGTGACCTCCCTCAAGCACCTGCTGTGTCTAAGAAGAGATGTATTGGCTCTATTTCTGCCTTCTCTTGCCCTAACCAGACTGGATTTCCCTGTTGAGTTCCCCCGATGATGAAACTTCTCCCTTGATCTTGTTGTTGAGTGAATGCATGAACAAATGACCAGCTGGGACTGAAGAATAAAGAATCCCAGTGGCCATGTAGGGCAATCCATGCCTACCCAAAAGTCCCTATGGCACTAGACCAGACCCAATTAGTGATCATCCCACCTCTGTCTGTGAAGGGAAACCCCCTATCACCTGAGGTGGCCCACACCATTTTAGGCAGCTCCGAATGTTAGGAAAGTTTTCCTACACTCCAGCCCAAATTTGCCTCTCTGAAACTTCCATTCATTACTCATTCTACCCTCCAAGGTCTACCTGAACAAGCATGATACATTTTCATATATCCCTTCAAAAGCTTAAAGACAGCTAATGCCATAAGGCAGTGAAGTGATATAGTGAACTGACTTCTGGCCTTGGAGTCGGTGAGACCTGAGTTCTTGCCTCAGTTACTTCCTAGCTGGATGAGTCACTTAATCTCTTTCTGCTTCAGCTTCCTTAGCTGCAGAAAATGAGGATTCAGAGGCCTCTAAGGTCCTTTTAACCCTAAATCTACGATCCTGTGGTCTTCCCTTCTCCAGGCTAAGCATCCCCAGTCTCTTCTGCCAGTCTTCATATGGCAAGGACTCAGAGCCCTTCCACCATATTGATTGCTATCCCCAATCCCTTCTGCCAATCTTCATATGGCAAGGACTCAGAGCCCTTCCACCATATTGGTTCCTATCCGCAATCCCTTCTGCCAGTCTTCATGTGGCAAGGACTCAGAGCCCTTCCACCATATTGGTTGCCATTCTCTGAAGAAGTTCTAGTTTATAATCTGTATATATACTTATAGTGTGCATGGTCTTAAGGCAGCTAGGTGGCATAGAAGATAGAGACCCAGGCCTGGAGTCAGAAGACCTGAGTTCAAATCCAGCCTCAGACACTTAACAAAGATAGAGACCCAGGCCTGGAGTCAGAAGACCTGAGTTCAAATCCAGCCTCAGACACTTAACTAGCTGTATGACCCTGGGCAAGTCACTTAACCCTGTTTGCCTCAATAAAATGAGCTGGAGAAGGAAATGGCAAACACTCCAGTATCTTTGCCAAGAAAATCCCAAACAGGATCACGAGAGCTGGACATGACTGAAATGAGTCAACAACAATATGCATGGTCTTCTAAAAGAGCCTCCATTAGTCTGAAACATGGGACAGCCATAAAGGTAACTTTCTGTACTCCTCAGCAATGTGTTGGATACTCGCAAACAAGACATGGTCCCTGCCTTTGAGGAGATTTTGAATCCAGTAGGGGAGACAAAATATGCACGCGGATGATTGTTTATGTGGTAATAGGTGATGAAGATAATGCAATCCATTAGTCAAACAGGGATGATAATAGTAGCTATGTCCCAGGCTTGTTGACTGAGTGATGCCAATGACCACAGCTTCCTAGATAATCACCAGGATACCTGTATTATACTTTTCAGATAAACTTTTTTAAGAAAGGAGCCGAGATGTTTTCCAAAAGGATGGACAGCCTTTTGTCTAACACCAGAGCCATGGTTCAAAGGTAACACTACCCAAAATTGGAATTCTTTTCTTGGTAGATTGTTGTGGGAAGGGTGTTACCTCTGCTGCTGAATCAGCCCGTGGCATAGCAGCCTAGCTTACAAAGTGATGGTGTCAGCCACGCCCAGGAAAAAGAGGACAATTCTGGATTTTGCCTACCATCCTCCCCATCAAGATAGAGAGCTGGTGCCAGAGCCAAGAATACTTTAGTCCCAACACTGACACATACTGGGCTTTGTGGCCCTGGGAAAGTCATTTCACATCTGAGTGCTCTAAGCAGCCTCTAAGTCTACATGTTGCAGAAAAGGTGCCAATCTACATTGGTAGGAAGTTTTCTTACCTGAGAGTTCCCTATCCCAGTGAAATCCCCAATCCAATACCTCTTGGCTAACTCCTATAAATAGTCCAGACAGTAAGAGAAGCAAGGTCATCCCTAAACTCTTGCCCCTTCAAAGTTCTGGATATTTTTACATGTGTCTTCAGATTGAGAAAGAAATGAGGGCTTGCAGAACCTTTGAATTCACATATATCATAGTCCTGCACATTATAACTACTTTAAAGGGTTTAAAAGGTTTTTGAAAAACAACCCTGAGTCTAGTTTCTTTTCCCTCGAGCTCACTTACCTATGATCTTGAACTAGCCTTTTGTCAGTTTTCAGTCTTTCAGATGTACGAAGTGTTGCTTTGAGCACAATTTGGGTTTGAAACAGACACTGAGAAAGGCATGAAAAGGGCTTGTTCTTGGTCAGTTTCTTTGATGGAAGTTCCCACAAAGACAGCTGCCAGAGAGGTCAACTGCCTACCTGCCACCCCTAGGAAGCCAACCTTTGAGGCTGACTCCTAGCAGATAAAAGAGACTTTAAGTAGCCACTTAATTTATTTAACAGCCTACGGTCCGATCTAGCAGATGGCTCTTACATGTCTACCAAGATTATTTTCCCACTACAAAATTTACTTTGATGCCATCTACACTACAGAAGGGCTGTTTACTCCTCCTCCTCCTCCTCCTCCTCCTCTTCTTATTCCTTCTCCTCCCCCTTCTACCACCTTCTCTTATCATCCTCATGCTGATGAGCTGTAAGAATATTAGCAAGAGACCTATCATTTACCTCATCTGTATGGGCTAACCCTGGGCTCTTAATATAATTTGTCTTGTCTTGGTATAAGGGTAACCGCCAGGCTCTTAATATCATTCGTCTCATCTTGGTATAGGTAGGTATAGATTATAGATATAGATATAGATATAGATATAGATATAGATATAGATATAGACATAGATATAGATATAGATATAGATATAGATATAGATATAGATATAGATATAGATATAGATATAGATATAGATATAGATATAGATATAGATGCCAGCTGGGTGCAAGCTCTGGCAATGATGACCATGCTGGAAAGGCTTCAAGCATGGCCCAGTGGAATGCCTGACATGTGAGGACCAGCCTGGCTAAGTTACAAGAGTGAGATCATGAAGCAGTTAAGCTAGGTGGTGGAGTGTATGGGACAATAGGTTCAGAATCAGTAAAATCTAAGTTGTTTTGAAGTTCAAACAAGACATAGAGGTCTTTGCCAAACTCAAGGCCAGGGCCCTTAACCTGGTGGCTGTGACTTTTATTTATTTGTTTTTTTTAATTGGATAACTATTTCAATTAATTGGTTTCCTTCATAATCCTAAATGTTTTATATTATGCATTTACAAATGTGATTCTGAGAAAGGGGCCATAGACTTCACCAGCCGGCCAAAGAGATCCAGGACATGAAAAAGTTAAAGGACCTCAGCCTTAAAGTGAAAGGGACTAAATCTATTATTTCAGTGGCATAAGGAACTCCCATGTGAGAAAACTCCCTCTACTGGTGCAAGTCATTGCTCACTGATTCTAGATCATTGAGTGACTTGCTAGGGTTCCATAGCCAGTACAAGTCAGAGGCCAGACTTGAACCTAAGACTCCCTGGTCCCAAGAGCAGCTCTCTGTTCACTCCGTGTCTCCTCAGAAGCTCCATATTAATGCTCACTTGAAAGCCCTAGATAAGCAGCCCAGCTTCAGGAGAATGGAATTTTTGACCACAGCAACTCACCAAGACTGTCTGCCAAGTCATAGGCATCCCTGAGGGGTGGCTGCTTCTTGAGGGGAAGAGCGGTCTCGTTTTTGCCTTTCTGTTCCCAAGACACAATGGAAGAGCAGTGACTTATTTCGTGTGAAATTCAAGAGGGAGTATTAGTAAGAGTCAGTCTTGGAATCTGGAAGACCAGGGTTCAGCTCCTGCCTCTGACCCTAACTGTGGGTCCTTGGACAAGTTGTTTCTTTCTGGACTTCAGTTTCTTCATCTGTAAAACAAAGGGGTAGGACTTAGCCTCTAAGGTCCCTTCTAGCTATAAATATATCATTCTTGGACTTACTACCTGTTTGACTTTGGACAAGTCACTTCTATCTGAGCCTCAGTTCCTGAGCCATAAAATAAGGGGATTAGATTCATCCTCTATGGCCCCTTCTAGCTCTAAATATATCAGCCTTCCAACACTAAATCTATCATCCCTCCTTCCTATAAGTTGGTTGGGTGGATAAAACTAAAAAGTAAGGAACAAGTCCTAAAAAAGTTAAGCATCGAACTTTTAGTACAAACACTAGGGCGTGGTCTTCAGAAATGGAACCCCAGGACTCTTGGGGTTTGTGAAAGCCTTGGATCTTTTCTGAAGTTGCCTACACTGATTTTCACAAGACCAAGGCAGGTTGCAGGTCCAGCAGTTTGGTTCCTCAGAGAGCTGTCCCTATAACCTGATTCATATCACCTGCTTTTCAATTTCATTACTTGACTCCTGGGAATTTTAGAGAAAGATAAAAGAGCATCTCCTCCTTCCCCAATTTTGAACCACCTCCCTGTCTTCTCTTCACTCCAGATGCCTTGTATTCCTATTATTTTAATCTTCCTCTGTAAGAGTCATAGGATCATAGACGCAGAGCTGGCAGGGATAGTAGAGACCATTGAGTCTTGTATTCAGGACTCCTCTATTTTACATATGAGGGAATTGAGTCCAAGAAAGCGGAAGTAACATACCCAAGGTCTCAGGATTCTAACCTGGAAACTGAGTCCAAATCCAAAAGTTCAATTTTTATCTTTGCTTCCCTAATGCCCAGCACACAGTAGGTGCTTAATAAGTGCTTGTTAGCATGGTCCCAGAGAGCTGATGATGAAGCATGCTGGGCATCTCCTGACAGAGAGGAGATTGCCCCAAGATGCAGACCCAAACATGTTTTGGGATATGGCCAATGTGGGGATTTGACTAAGCATGTTTAATACAAGGTTTTTGTTCTTTTTCCTTCTTGATTGGGTAAGAGCAGGGAGGAGAAGAAGGAGGTAGGAGGGAGAGAAAATCAATGCTTGCTAGTTAAAAAATATAATTTTGTTTTTTAAATGTTTGTTGATTATCTTGGATGGTGGAAATATGGATGTAGAGGTAAAAGAAGGCCTTCGCTCCCAAAGCTTGTGTTTGCATTCCAATGGTGACATTCCAACCTTCTGTCTTAAGCATACAGGAAGAATCGGAGGCCGAGGTTGAAAAGATGCGGCTGTCCCAGCAAGAGCTGCTCTCTGTCATGAATCCGTTTACACCCCAGATTTTGACGTCGCTGCACCAGCCATCAACAGGAACCTCATCCAGAAGGCTGGTTACCTCAATCTCAGAAAGTGAGGAGATGACATGACCTCATATCCCTCTCCCCTTATCTTCTCCACGTGCCCCAATACCCATGGGAGCACTGAGTACTAGCACTGAGAATACTCCCAGTATAGACTGTCTGTTTTATTACGAGAGATGCTCAAGACCTCCCTTTGTACATGGCAGGACATAATCTCACCTCAGCCATAGCCACCAACTCCGTCACCAAGCAAGGGTCTGACTCAACTCATTTAGATGAGTATGTTTTCATAGTCTCATAGGTAGAAGGGATCTCAGAGGCTATCTGGCCCTACCTCCTGATTTTACAGAGGAGGAAACTGAGGCACAGAGAGGGGAAGTGATTTAACCAATATCACACAGGTAGATCATGAGTATAGAGCTGGAAGGGACCTGAGAGTCAATCTAGTCAATCCCCTGATTTTACAGAGGGGGAAACTGAGGCCCAGAGAGGTCTACAGACTTGGCCAATGTCATACAAGTAGCAAGTGGGTCTCTAGTTCCTGAGGGAGGAAAAAGGTGCTGCATTTTAGAGCAAGGCAAGGGCAGTAAGCAGACTGAATGTTAAAGAGATATTAAAATAGGGCATCCTTACAGATCAGCATGGGAAAGCAGCATGAGACGGTAGAAAGTGGGATAGATTTGGAGTTAGGTTCAAATTGATTCCAGATTCTACCAATCAATCTTTTTAAAAAGCAATCAACACATTTATTAAGCACCTACTGTGTGCCAGCCACTGGGCTGGGTGCTGGGGCGACAAAGACAAAGAATCAGAGCCCCCCTCCTCCTCAAGGAGCATCATCCTCTTTGATTTCCAGTGTCATGCCAATAAAATCACAAGTTCGATCCAAAAAAGTCAGGTAGTGTTGATTAGAACGCCTCCAGTGGACAGCGGCCCCCATGAGACCATTCAGAGACAAATGCTGAGTCAGCCACTCACTGCTGTGTGACCTAAGGAACGTCATCACTCCCCCTCTGGGGTCCTCAGTTTTCCCACCTGTAGAATGGAGGGTTGGACTTATGGTCCTGCCTTCTAATTCAGACCCCTCATGTCCCTTCTGGTCATAGATCTAGGAGCCTGGGATTGGGATCACCGGCTCTTAGGGGATCGCTATTCCACAGTGCTAAGAGATGGGGAGTGTATTTCTTGGTGTTCCCTCCCTCCCCCCAAAAACAAGCATTTGCTGAGAAAGTTATTTAGATCAGAGGATTTTAATGTTTTTTGTCCTGGACCCTTCAGCAGTCTGGACTCGCTCTCAGAAGAATGGTTTTTTAAACGTAGAAAATAAAATGCAGAGGATTGCAATGGAAATCAATTCAATCAAAATAAAGATGTCACTTTTTCCCCATCAAAGTTCACAGACTTCCTGAAATCTGTCCATGACACCCTTTGGGATCTATGGGCCCCACACTAAGACCCCTTGGATTAGATTGTCCCCCATTGACATCTGTTGTATCTCTAAATGATCTCATGTAGTCCCACGGTCTTCTGGAGGCTTCATAATAAACACCACCCAACTTTTTTTGGTCCAAACCTATGATTTTATTGGTGTGATGCTGCCAGTTAAAATCCATGAGGTTCCTTGAGGAGAGAGACTCTGATTCTTTGTCTTTCTATCCTTAGCACCCAGCACAGTGCCTGGCACATTGCTTTTGAAAAATTGATTGGTAGAATATTGAACTTAGAATTAGGAGAGATCGGGCTTGTGATATTTACTTACCCTAGGTAAATCACTGAATTTCAAGCCTCAGTTGTTTCCCCTCTATAATAGGGTTAAGAACATGTATAACTTGGAGAAAGCGTTTTTGCCAGTTCTAAACCATTATAAACGTCTGTGAGTGGCAGCATCCTCTTTCTGTTCCTAAAGGCTCTTTTCAAACTTGGTTATTTCCTGCAGCAAAACTGGCTTGGTCACAACCTCGTGGGAGAGGCTCTACTTCTTCACTCAAGGTGGGAACCTCATGTGTCAGCCTCGGGGCGCTGTTGCGGGCGGTTTGATCCAGGACTTGGACAACTGCTCCGTCATGGCCGTGGACTGTGAGGACCGGCGCTACTGTTTCCAGATCACCACCCCGACGGGGAAACCGTAAGGCTCCAGGGTTTCCCGGGGAGGGCAACATTGGGAGTCAGCCCGTCCTGATTGATTTTCCAGAGGCTGGTAGATCATTGACCACATAGGAGGATTCCTTCCATGCCCCTCCCTGGGAGGGGCCTTATTCTGCTTTCTTTGACCCGGTTTTATTGACCTTTGGGGAGAGCCCTTATAATGCTGATTTAAGTAAACAAAAATGTCCCAGATTGCAGCTTCCTTTAGAGAGGCTGTTTAAGGAGGACTTTGCACCTGACTACAAAAGAAATAGCATTTGATTTGTGTGTGTATGTGTGTGTATCTAATATATGTGTATATACATAGTATATGTGTTTGTATAGATATATACACATACATGTATATAAACATATAGAGATGTGTATATATGTGTGTGTGTATATATACTATGTACTTGTCCTGTGTATATATACACATTCTATATATAAATATATTTTAAATATATATTGAATATATAAATATTATATACTGAAAATATCTATTGAACTTAGGGGGACCAGAGTTCAAATCCAGCTTCAGACACTTACTAGCTGTGTGACCCTAGACAAGTCACTTCGCCCTGTTTGCCTCAGTTTCCTCATCTGTCAAATGAGCTAGAGAAGGAAATGGCATACCACTCCAGTGTCTCTGCCAAGAAAACTCCAGTATATATGTGCATATCTACATAAATATCTGTATTTATATTTAGACTAGACAGGGATTTAATTGGTATAGTAAATTCCCAGTGAAGAAAGTTTCTTCACCAATGCAGATCACCACCTTCTTTGCAAATTATCTTGGAAGGACACTCAAAGCAGCAGCACTATGGTGTAAAATGAATTGGCCAGGGCCACACAGCCAGGACATGTTAGAGGCAAAACTTGAACTCAGGTCTTCCTGACTCTAAAACCAGCTCTCTATCCATCTTGTCAGGCTGCCTCTTGTGTTTGCATATACAGGGTAGCAAATGGAGATTAAAAGGTGGAAATAACTATTTTGTCAGCTATGAGCTCAATGTTTTTCTCCTAGTCTACATTAGAGGCGTCAAACTCATTACCAGCTGGAGGCCAAAACCAGATTAAAATGTAATTGGGAGATGTTTAACAAAATAAATAAAAATACAATACAATTTACATAACGTTAATTTGTGCCCTAGATACTTCCTAGCTGAGTGATCCCAGGCCAGTGACTCAGGTTTATCAGCTGTAAAATGGGGGTGATAATCTGTGGCGTCCTCACTTAAAAGGTCATAAGGAGGTTCAAATGATGTAGGTAATCTATGCAAAGTGTTTTGTAGACCTTCAGTCTAGAGAAATGCCCACTACTATTCTGAATGACACTGACTAATCACTCTGCATCTCCGTTTCCTCATCTGTAAATGGGGTCAATAATACTTTATAGCTCCTTCCTCACCGAGCTGTTATGAATCTCAAATAAGATAATGCAGGGAAAGTTCTTTGAAGCCCTTAAAGCACTATAGAAATGTCAGCCGTTTATTCATTTGATTATGGATCATCATCATCATCATCATCACTTAACTTCAGTCTCCTCATCTGTAAAATGGGGATAATAATAACACCTACCTAACAGGCTGAAACGCTTAAATGAAATGTGAGCTATTTATTCATTAGTATGTTCATCTTCAATCTGAGCCTCAGTTTCCGCATCTTTGAAATGGGAATTTTACTGTTCATGGTACTGATCTGACCAAGGTGTTGTGTAAAACCTTTTCTAGACATTATAGCGCCCTCTAGACGTCAGCTGCTATATCATGGCCATCATTATCTGTCTGCTGAAGCTCCCTGCTGTTTTAAAGAGCTCCTCCAGGGTACTCATTATTAATTACATTATTGTCTCCAGGGCCCAGAAGAGGAAATATATTTAAATTAGGATGCATTGCAAATAAAACACCACGTTATTCCTCTGGTAATTCAGATTCATAATAGTATTAAATCTTATTCCCTCACTGACCCCCCTCCTTCCCATTTCTCTATTCTCACCTCCTAATTAGATTAGGGGTTCTTAACCTGGGGCCCATGTATAGATTTCAAGGGGTCCCTGAACTTGGATGGGAAATTTTTCACTTTTTTTTCATTAATCTCTAACTGAAATTAAGAGTTACTAGCTGTGGCACACTGGGGGAGACTCAGTTTCCTCATTTGTAAAAAAAAATGAGAATAATCATAGTGTTATTATGATCTCTACTTTACAGATGAGGAAACTGGGGCAAACAGGAGTTAAATAACTTGCCTAAAGTTACACAGGCAGAAAGTATCAGAAGCAGGATTTGAACCCAAATCCTCTGACTCCAGAGTCAGGGATCTTGTTTGTCACTGTGCCCACTGGGTGATTGAAGCAGTGTGGCGGCCCAGGAGTCAGTGTTCCCATCTCTGATGCTTCCCACCTGGGTGAACTTGGGCAACTCCCTTCCCCTTCCTGGGCCTCAGTTTCCTCATCTGTAAAAGGATGGGGTTGGATTAGATGCCGCATAGTCAGACAAAAAAGCAGGCCAAGGACTGCACCCACTCCCTCCGCTTGCACATCAGCTGGGGCTAGGGAAGGAATGAGATCTGGGGGAGGAAGGAGTGGGAGGTGGCATGTGGCTCATTTAAGGAGCAGGATGGGAGGGGGATGAATGGTGACAGCTTGTCTGGCAATAAACGGTGACTCTCACTCCCTTCTGTCCTTAAATGCCCTCCGAAGCTCAGTTAGCATTTTTCCCACCTGAAATCAGAGTTTGGACTCAAAACGCAGGAGATGGGAGCCAAATGTGTGAGGGAGCCTCATGACGGGGAGTAGAAAGAGCTCTGGATTTGGAGTGCAAGGACTCTGCCTTGTGTGACCTTGGACCAGTCACTTCCTGTTTCCTCAGTTTTCTACTTTGAATAATAATAATAATAACAACAACAACAATAACCATTTACATTCTATCTTAAGGTTTGTAAAGTACTTTGTAAGTATCATATTTGATCCTCACAGGTGGAGGAGGAGGGGTAGCTGCTATTATTATCTCCATTTTACAGATGAGGAAACAGAGGCAGATAGAGGTAGAATGACTTGCCCAGGGTCATACAGCTCTTGAGTATGTGAGGCAAGATTTGAACTCAGGTTGGCTAGAATCCCAGTCCAGAGCTATGCTGCCTCCTAGCTAATGAGGAGGTTGGACTGGATAATCTCTAGGTCCTAGCTCAAAGTCTTGTGATGTTAGACATGCTTTATTCCACCCTCCCCTCCTCCAGATAAAATTTAAGTTCCTTGAGGGCAGGTAGTGATTTGCCTTTATCTTTGGGTGCCTGAATCATAAAAATGTTCCTGGTGCCTTTAAAAACGTTGATTGACTGATTGATTGACCTTTGACTTGCCCAAAATCACACAGATTCTTAGCAGAAAATCAAAACCCAGATCAGTTTACTCATTTGCAAAATGAATAATGGAGGGGGACGCGTAGGGAAACATGAAGAAATGAGGGAAATAATGCCTGGTCTGCCTCCCTCACACAGATGTGTTATGATGTCCAGTGAAAAAGTGGAGGTGAAAAGATTTTCAAAATCGTAAATTATAGATGAAAGAGACTATGGCAGAGCCCAGAGAGCGTTAGACATGGAGTCAGGAAAACCTCAGATCAAATGCCCCATTTGGATACTAGCTACAAGACCCTGGACAAGTCACAACCTTCTGGCCTCAGTTTCTTAGTTTTGGGGCATTGGGCTGGATAACCTCTCAGGGCTCTTTAAGCCCCAAATCTTTGATCCTAAATGATAGCACCCACTGTGCCCTGAGCATATGGCATTGTAGGAAGAGACTCCTCCAGAGGGCCTGCGTCCAAAGCCCAGCTCGGACACTTACTGCCCAGGTCACCGTGGGCAACTCACTAAACATTTTATCTGTAAAATCAGGGAGGCAGGAGGCATACAGTGGAAAGAGTGGAGGAATGGGGTCTAATCCTGCCTCTGAAGCTTCCTTCCCCTGTGACTATGGTAATTAGCATGAGAGGCTCCCTGAAGGCTCGGATTGTTTTGTCTGGGTCTTTAAATCCCCTGCCTCACACATGGTAGATATTCAATAAGTGTGTGTCAGATGGATGGATGGATGGATGGATGGATGGATGGATGGATGGGTGGATGGGTGGGTGGGTGGATGGATGGATGGATGGATGGATGGATGGATGGATGGATGGATGGATGGGTGGATGGATGAGTGAGTGAATGAGTGAATGAATGAGTGAATGAGTGAGTGAATGAATGAATGAAGGGGGACATGAACCCAGGTCTCTTTAAATACAGCATCTCTCTCTCATACCAGCCTGATCCCAAAGGGGAGAATTGAGTTAAATACATCTGGAAAAAATGCTTCTTTGGATGTGTTTTATTTTAGGGGGATCACCCTGCAAGCTGAAAGCAAAAAGGAAAATGAGGAGGTAAAGACTTTTGCCCCTTTGACCTACTTCTCCCAGTGGGAGGATGAATTCAGAAATTCACTGTGTTTCCTTGTCCTTTGCAGTGGATATGTGCCATCAACAACATCTCCAGGCAGATCTACCTGACCGACAACCCTGAGGTAAGCCCAGGTGGGAGGTGTGTGCACTTAGCACAGTGCCTGGCACATAGCAGGTGCTTTAAAAATGTAATTGATTAATTGATTGTCAGCCTTTCGTCTCAGGCAGTGAAGGGTCAGAGACCAGGCTCTCCCAGGGCTGAGTCTGTGGTCCTATTTCATCTCTCGCCTGGAATATTGCAGCGGCCTGCCTGCCTCAAGACTCTCCCCTCTCCAACCCAGCCTCCACATAGCTGCCAAAATGATTTTCCTACAACCCAAGTCTGACCATGCTCAGTAAACCCCACTGGCTTCCTGTCACCTCTAATTAAATATAAACTCCTCTTTGGACATTGAAAACCCTTCACAACCTGGCCCCAACCTACCTCGACAGCCTTAATACACATCAACCCTTAAGTCTAACAAAACTGCCCTCTTTGTGGTCCTCATCCGTCATACTGTGTTTCCTGCCTCCATGTATTTGCACTAGTCGGGTTGGTATTTGCTCCTCACCGCCATCTCTCAGAATCCTCAGTTTCCATTCTAGTCTCATCTCTAGTGCCACTTTGTCTCTGAAGCCTGTCCCAATCTACCCCAAATAATCTTACGTCAATCGTGTATGTAATAAAAGAGTTCTTATTTGTTACATTGCTATAGCTATAGCTATAGCTGACACAGAGAGCCCTTTAAGGTTTACAAAGCACATTTGACTCTCACAAGAGTCCTGTGCGGTCGGTGTTATATCAACCTCATTTTACAGATGAGGAAACTGAGGCTCAGAGACCTGGCCCGCAAGCTTCTGAGGCAGGATTTGAACTCAGACTTTCCTGACTCCAGGCCTGTTGCCTATGTGCCCACGTGCGTACGTGTTGTTTTCCCCAGCTAGACTGTAAGCTCTTTGAGGGCAGGGACTTTCTGGTGTTTTTCCTTGTATCTCCCAGTGGCCGGCATATGGGCATTTAATAAATGCTTCCTGATTGATCGCTAGATTGATTGATTGATCCCTTCCAGGCCGTGGCCATCAAGTTGAACCAGACAGCCCTCCAGGCAGTGACGCCGATCACAAGCTTTGGAAAAAAACAGGACCCCTCACGACCAAGGTAATTTGCCATCCTAGACAAGAGGAACCATTTTTGTTTTTGTCTTCACATCCCCCAAACTTAGCACAGTGTTTAGTATACAGTAGGTGCTTAATAAATACCTATTGGTTACTACAGACTGCCAAGGGGTGTAGCGGTGAGTAGCAGACTGGACCTGGAGTCAGGAAGATTTGAATTAAATCTGTCCTTCAACACTAGCTGTGTGACACTGGGCAAATCACTTAACCTCTGTGTGACTCAGTTTCTTCAACTGCAAAATGAGGTAAAAGTAGCACCTACCTCCCAGGGTTGTGGTGAGGATCAAATGAGGACATGTTTGTGAAAGTGCTTAGCACAGTGCCTGGCATGTAGCAGGTGCTCTATAAGTATTATCATCATCATCATTAGTTGTCAAGAATGAAGGCCCTTTCTGAGTGGCTGATTAGTTTCCACTGAAAGAAAAAACACATGACAAAAATCTCCCATGATTCAGTGACACTGTTAAATGAATTTGTTGCATTTGTTACAAAAAAACCTACTTATATTAAAAAAAAAGAGCCACAAAAAGGTGTGTAAACTACATTCTTTCTTCAGTGTACAGACTTAGTATTTGCTTATTTATGCATTCACATGTGGATTCAAGGTGATAGTCTGGAAACCACCGATGTCATGGAAAAAGCAAAGACTATACTAAGAAAATGTATACACTTTAGTAACCTGACAGATAGATAGATAGATAGATAGATAGATAGATAGATAGATAGATAGATAGATAGACAGATAGATAGATAGATAGACATAGATAGATAGATAGATAGATAGATAGATAGATAGACATAGATAGATAGATAGATAGATAGATAGATAGATAGATAGATAGATAGATAGATAGATAGATAGACAGATAGATAGATAGACATAGATAGATAGATAGATAGATAGATAGATAGATAGATAGATAGATAGATAGACAGACAGACAGACAGACATAGATAGACAGACATAGATAGATAGATAGATAGATAGATAGATAGATAGATAGACAGATAGATAGATAGACATAGATAGATAGATAGATAGATAGATAGATAGATAGATAGATAGATAGATAGACAGAGATAGATAGATAGATAGATAGATAGATAGACAGACAGACAGACAGACATAGATAGACAGACATAGATAGATAGATAGATAGATAGATAGATAGATAGATAGATAGATAGATAGATAGATAGATAGACATAGATAGATAGATAGATAGATAGACAGACAGACAGAGATAGGTAGATAGACAGACAGACAGACAGACAGACATAGATAGATAGACAGACATAGATAGATAGATAGACAGACAGACAGACGTAGATAGATAGATAGACAGAGATAGATAGATAGATAGATAGATAGATAGATAGATAGATAGATAGATAGATAGATAGACAGACAGAGATAGATAGATAGATAGATAGATAGATAGATAGATAGATAGATAGATAGATAGATAGGCAGGCAGACAGATAGACAGATAGATAGATAGATAAATAGAAAGATTGATTTTGTTGTTCAGTTGTTTTTCAGTCATGTCTGAACCTTTGTGACTCCATTTGGGATTTTCTTTGCAAAAATATTGCAGTGTTTTGCCATACGTATGTGTGTATGTGTGTGTGTGTGTGTGTGTGTGTGTGTGTGTGTATGCGCGCACGCATGTGTGTATGTATATGAACAGGTAAATGAATAATAATATCTAGCATTTATATAGCACTTTTAAGGTTTGCAAAGTGTTTTATAAATATTATCTCACGTTATCCTCCCAATAACTCTACAAGATCAGAGCAATCAGTAGCTCCATTTTACAGGGAAGGAAACCAAAGCAGACAGAGGGTAAATGACTTGCCCAGGGTCACACAGCTAGTAAGTGTCTGAGGCTGGATCTGAGCTCAGGTCTTCCTGACTCCAGCCTCAGTGCTCTATCCACTGTGCCATCTGGCTGATGCTAATGCTGTACCTTTAATGTCATTTCCACCAATAAAACCATCCCTGTTTTCTGAGATTGAACTACTTGACAGTGCCCAGGACTTGGGTGGTGAGAAGACTCCTTTGCAAGTCTTCCAGCAGCTTTGGCTGCTGAGACGTGGGGGCGGCAGCACCTGTGGAGGCTCCTGCCACGTCTCAAAGGTTGGTTCCAGGATGCTGACCAGAGGGGCCGTGCTGGAATTCTCAGTAGGCACTAGGGAGCCATTGAATGTTATTGATCCAGGAAGTAATATTAACAAAGGTGGTATTTTAGGAAACTTGATGTGGTCGTGGTACAGTCATTTTACTCAGATGTTCCGTGTTTGGTATTTAGAACAATAGTGCCTTTTCACCTGTGGTTCCCCAGTGGAATGTGTTTGATTTGTTTTCTTCTTCTTTTTTGTACCCCAGCCAGAACCGGAAGCATTCAGGTTCAGAAAATGACAAGATGGTCCCTAACCCAGCAGCTAAAGTCCCTGATGCCGACCAGTTAATCGTACCCGGGACACCTATTCAATTTGATATCGTCCTTCCTGCTACTGAATTCCTGGATCAGAATCGAAGTGGCAGGTAGGGAGTGAGACCCTGACCTTGTGAAAAATGAGGTGGGATGGAGGGATCGGGAAAGAAGAGTGGGTCTCACTGGGGGAGCTGGAGGGTGATGGCAAGACGATATACACTATACAACATGCAACATGCATTTCAAGCATCCTTCTGGCCAGCCTCCTTCTAAGGCAGCTAGGTGGAGAGTCCTAGACCTGGAGTCAGGAAGACTGGAGATCGAATCTAGCCTTATATACTCACTCAGACCCTGGACAAGTCACTTAACCTCTGTCTCAGTTTCCCCATCTGTAAAATAAGGATAATAATAATGCCCAAGGTTGTTCTGAGAATAAAATTTGTAGAGCATTTAGCACAGTGCCTAGCACATAGCGGGTGCTTGATAAATGCTTGTTTAAAAAAAAAAGAAATCCAGCCTCAGACACTTACTAGCTGTGGGACCCTGGGCAAATCATTAACCTCGTCTGCCTCCACGTCCTCGTCTCTAAAATGAAGATAACCTCCTTCTTAAAGTGCTCTGCCAACCTCAAGTGCTCTATAAATGCCAGCCATTCTTGTTACTAACTGTATACCTCTGCTTTTTCCTTTCCTCTCTTTTTCTTCCCTGTCCAGGCGTACAAACCCGTTTGGCGAATCAGCAGATGAAAAGCAGCCTGACGAGGAGGGTCAGTACCTGGTTTGGTAACCAGCGCAAGTTAACTTGGGCTTGAGATGTGATTGTGTGTCCTCAAGGCCCCTCCGGCAGCTGGTGCAGTGGTCTGAAGGCAGGAGATCAGGCAGGGCCTACCTATAGCTTCTGCCTGGGGCACCTTATGTGCCAGCTGTGTCCGAGGCATTGTGTGCTAGGGCACTTGGGAGTGGACAGTGAGTGACACCAGGCAAGGACACATGGCCTCTGCCTTCCAGAGCTTCTAATCTGTCCTCAGGTTATTGGGAAGATGATGTTTAAAGGTGATTGAAACCCATATCTTAAATGTGTCAGCCAGAGCTCCTAAATCCTCAGTTTTCCATTATGGAGGGGTGATTCCCAGATGTCCAAGAGAGGCAGTGTTTATTGTGGCTTAGTAGAAGGAGTCAAGTTTTGGAGCTGGAAGACCTAGGTTCACATCCTGACTGGGCTATCTTGTGTGAACTCGAACACATCATTTCAACTTGGGTTTGGAGGAAAATGGGGGGAAATGACTGTTTAAAATTATGGGGAAACTAAAAATGTTTGGTCTTATCAGTGGGTCTTGTGATGTCTAGGGGAAGAAGACTGGGCCAGGAAGGCAGAAGGGTCTGATCCCATTTCTGTCACCAGTAGCTGGGTGATATCAAGCAAGTCTGGGCCTTAATTTTCTCATCTGTCAAAAGAGGAGTTGCACTAGATGACCTCTGAGGTCCCTTGTAGTGTGGCGATCCCATGAATCTGGGGGGTTTTCAGGGAGGGGCTTGGTCAGGGTGAGGCAGGTTAACCTGTTTGAAGCAGGGAGAACCTGAATGAGCAAATGTCCAAGGATGGGCTAGCACCTATAAACTGGGACCCATTATCAACAGATGAGTTCATTACATTCCTGTTGGTGCTTCTGTTGACCACTGAAACCATTTAGTTTACTTAGGTGGCCATTAATGGCCTGGCATTCACAAATACTCTGCTTAAAATTTCTACATATGTAAATTGAATAATTCAAATTAGTAATTCCTATTTCTAGTATACTTTAAGGCTTACAACACACTTTCTTTCCAATCACCCTGTAATATAAATGGTAAATGTACTATTATGCCCAGTTTACAGATGTGGAAACTAAGGCTCAGGGAAAAGTTGTGTCTTTAGAAAGTGTCTTTAGTAAGATTGGATTCAAACCCGGGCAGCTGGGTGGTACAATGGATAGAGCCCTGAGGCTGGAGCCAGAAAGACCTGAGTTCAAATCTGGCATCACATGCTTACTACATGTGTGACTCTGGGCAAGTCACTTAACCTAAGTTTCTTCATCTATAAAATAGGGATAATGATAGCACCTACTTCTCAAGGTTATTTTGAGGATCAAATGAGATAATAACTGCACATAATAATTAATAATAATTAGCCCAGAGCCTGGCACATAGTGAACACTATATAGATTTAAGCTATTATCTATCACCACCATAATCATTGTTAGTATTATTTAATAGTGAATTCAAGTCCTTAATTCAATCATTTACTAAGTGCTGACTTGGACTATGTGTGCCCGACCTGTGACAGAGCATTCCGAGCCCGAAGTGGTCTGCTCAGCCACAGCTGGACACACCGTACCTTGAGCCCAACATAGTGATGTCATCTTGGTTCAATTCGAGCATGGGGGACAACCACCAACCACGTGCCTACCAAACACCTGGCAGTGTGCTAATTCAACCAATCGACAAGCACGTTTTAAGCTCCGCTAAGTACTAGACCCTGCGCTAAGGGCTGGGGACACAAATATGAAAAATGAAAGAACTAATCTTAGACATCTTTAGAACCGGAAGAAACTTTGGAACTTAGAATGTCAGAGCTGGGAAGGAACCTGCACCTGAATGTCAGAGCTGGGATAGAATTTAGAACAGATGTCAGATATAGGAAGGAACTTAGAACCCAAATATCAGAGCTGGGAGGAACCTTAGAACAGAGAATGTGAGAACTGCAAGGGACCTTAGAACACAGAATGTCAGAGCTGGGATGGAACTTAGAGTTAACTTAGAACCCAAACGTCAGAGCTCGGAAGAAACTTAGAACACTGAATGTCAGAGCTGGGATGGAACTTAGAACACTTATGTAAGAGCTGGAATGGAACTTAGAACATCAAATGTCAGAGCTGGGAAGGAACTTAGAACACTTACGTAAGAGCTGGGAAGGATCTTTAGAACACTGAATGTCAGAGCTGGAAGGGTCCTTAGAAATCTGATCCAGCTGCCTTACTTTCCACAGAGGAAGAATGTCTTCCTGGTTTTGCTATTAGCTAATAAATGTTGTAGCAAGTTCACAAGTAAATGAAAAGTGATACCATGCCGGTGTCTGGCCAGAGGGAGAGGCTTATATGTCCCCAGGGGCATCTTGGGCCTGCAGACAACTTGGGGCCTGTAATAACAGGGGTGAGGGAGATGAGTGGAAAGTGTTCCGGGGGAAGGAGGCTGAAACCATAGGATCCTCAGAGCGTGCTTGCTGACATGTCTGAAGAAGTGTCTAACAGAGGAAAACATCTGTTACCCAAAAGGGTGACATTTAAAAGGCCACTTGGGTCACTGGCACAAAGCCCATATGACCTTGAGTAGAAAATGTTTTTCCCTTTACAGATTCGCTGTTGCAGCAGATGTTTATAGTTCGGTTTTTAGGATCCATGGCTGTCAAAACCGACGGCACTAGCGAGGTGATTTATGAGGCCATGAGACAAGTGTTGGCTGCCCGTGCAATCCATAACATCTTCCGCATGACAGAATCCCATCTGATGGTCACCAGCAAAACTCTGAGGTATGGTTGTATGATTAGTCTGGTTCTGGATATCGAAGGACAGAACCAGGGTCGCACCCACTCTAATGTAGCTCTGGGGTTTAATGGTAGCATGACATCCTCACATTGGACACAGAAGGGCTACAAAGAGACATCTGCTTCTGACTTATTACCACCCCTGGCTTCCAGTCTTGGTAAAGGAAGTTACACATGTAACTTCAACCCAGGCAATCGGTTCTGTCTAGACTGTAGACCAATCTGATTGGCTTATGTGAGTTAGGACTCGTGTAACTTTGTGTAGACAAAAGGAGCTGGAACCTTATAAATGTACCAATCTTGGGGTAGCTAGGTGGCCCGGTGGATAAAGTTCCAGGCTTAGAATTAGGAAGACATCTTCCTGAGTTCAAATCTGTCCTGAGACACTCACTAGCTGTAACCCTGGGTGTCACTTCCCCCTGTTTGCCTCCATTTCCTCATCTGTAAAATGGGCTGGAGAAGGAAATGGCAAACTGCTCCAGTATCTCTGCCACGAAAACCCCAAATGGGGCCATAAAGAGTTGGACATGACTGAAACAAGTTGACAACAACAAGGCTTTAACATGGTGCCACTCCACACAGTAGTGTGGAAAATGTATGTTGGGGACCACAGGCTTAACCATGGTCTTCTATGAATTTTATTTTCTTAATTAATAAAAATCTGTTTTCTCTCCCTCTCATCTTCTCTCATCCCACCCCTGCCATTGATTTAAAAAAGAAAAAACGAACCCTTGTAACAAATAGAGTCAAGAAAATAAAGTCCCCCAATGTCCATGTCCAGAAATTAGATCCCATTCTTCATCCTGAGCCTGTCACCTCGGTCAGCAGGTAGGTGACATTCTTCATCATCGGTTCTCCTGAATCATAGTTGGTCATTACATTGATCAGAGTTCTTAAGTTTTTCAAAGTCGTTTTTTTTTTTTGCGGTGTTGTTATATTTATGAGTTATTCTCATGGTTCTAATCACTTTACATCTATTCATGCAAGTCTTCCCAGGTGTCACTGAAACCACCCCTTTGATCACTTCTTACAGCATAATGGTATTCCACTCATATGCCACTTTGTTTTCCAGGTGATGGGCACCTCTACAGTTGCCAATCCCAATTTTCCAGTACAAAAAGAGCTATGAAGAGGCTCTTACCTGGGATCTGTCAACTTGGCTTTTAAAAAATATCTTGACAATTGCATTTCATTATCATTGGTTTTCTCTGCAGTCCTATTCATTTTATTTCATTCATTTAAGTACCATGTGATTCCGAGAATGGGTCCCCAGGCTGCCAAGGGATCTGTGACACCAAAAAAGGTTAAGAGCCCCAGTCCTAGAGCTGTGAGCTTTTCTGAGAACGTAACTTTCTCATCGTCATTTCTTCCATGTCCTTTTCACATTCCAGGCTGATCGACCCTCAAACCCAAGTAACAAGGGCCAGTGTAAGTATTCTGAGTGCATTCTTACATCCGATGTTTCTGGTCATTGCCCATCTCAGTCGAGGTTGGCTTTGTCTTTTTCGTTTGATTTGTTAAGGTCCGTGAAATCTAATCTCTTCTATGTGTTTTCAGTTTGAACTCACCAGCGTCACGCAGTTTGCGGCCCATCAAGAAAATAAGAGATTAGTTGGTTTCATTGTGTGTGTTCCCGAGTCTGCTGGAGAAGAATCCCTGAGTGCATATGTGTTTGAGAGCAACACAGAGGGAGAAAAGGTCTTGATAGCTTTTTATTTTGATTATGTCCTAACTTTCCCTCCACCCCCATAGAGAATTTGTTTTTTTAATTTTAAAATTTTATTTTTTTATTTACATGTAAAAACAATTTTTAACATTCTTTTTTGAGTTCAAATTCTCTCCATTCCTCCCCTCTCACCTCCTTGAGAAGGCAATTTGATATAGATTATACATAACTTCTATGCCCTCTACTTCATGGAGGAAAAAAGACCCCTGGGTCTTTGACTTTCCCAACAAGATTTCAAACCCTTCCCCACCCCCCAAATGGAGGGGTTTGGCATCCCCCACCAAACATGTCCTTAAAAAGAACCCTATTTCCGCTCCTTTTTTTCTCATCTGGACCAATGATTTCAACGGCGTAGGGAACTCCCAGTGAGAAAATTCCTTCTATGGAAGCAGGTTAGCAACTTTATGGTCTTCTGGTTTCCTGGGACACTTATTAGGTAAGTGACTTTCCCAGAGTCACAAAGCTACTACGTGTCAGGGGCAAGATTTGAAGCCAGCTCTTCAAAGGCCTATTGACTGTCTATCGACCAAGCTAGTAGTGTTGAACTCAAATAGAAAGGGATCCCTGAACACTGCAAATTAACATTATCTGTGTTGTATTCTATTTTCATTTTGTTAAACATTTCCCAATTACCTATGTTTGGGGAAGCAGTTGGAGTTAATGACTTGCCCAAAGTCACACAGCTAGTAAGCGTCTGAGGCTGGATTTGAACTCCGGACTGGTGCTCTATCCACTGCACCACCTAGCTGCCCTTTCCCAATTGCATTTTAATCTAATTCAGGAGCCCCTGGACGTGCTGTGAGCAGGCCTCATGTGCTGCCTCCTACGTTGTTGTTATTTGTCCTTCACTCAAAGACCTGGGGTAGAGCCCAATTCCCACAAGCGTCTTGCCTTATTTCTGGCCATTTTTTGAACAGGTTCTAGCCTTGGTCATTGCTATTAAAAAAAAAATGCATCCTAACAGTAGTTGCCATTTCTAAAATGTTTCCAAAGGCTTTCCTCAGAACCCTGTGAGGCGGGTGGTATGATATCCCCACTTTAAAAATAATAAAAACTTAAGAGCTAAGGTTCCAAACTTCTCAAAGAACCTGTTCAATTTCTTTAACAAAAAGTTAAAAGGACTACACAAACGTAATATTTATCAGTGTGGTGATATGAACAGAGAGCTGGTTCAGAATAAGGAAGACCTCGGTTCCAGGTTCTGCCCTGACACAAACTGGCTGTGGGACCCTGGGAATATCACTTAACTTTTCAGTACTCAAGACTAGAGGAGGTGCCACCCTGCCTCGGTAGAAGGAATTTCCTCATCTGGAAGTTCCCTGTACCAAAGAAATCACAGGCCCAGTTCCTATCCTATATTAAATGCACATATGCCAATTAGATTTTCATTCATTTCATAAATATTTTATTTGAGGCAGCAAAGTTGCATAGTGGTGGTGGGTAACTTGCTGGACCTTGAGTCAGGAAGACCCAAGTTTAAATCTGGCCTCTGATATTAGCTGTATGACCCTGGGCCAGTCACTAAACCATAGTTTCCTCAACAGTAAAATTGGGTAATAATAGCCAATTTTTCCTTCCGTGACTGCGACAGTCAAATGAATTAATATCTGTAAAGTACTTTGCAATCTTAAAGCTAGAAATGCTAGCTATCATTATTATGATTGCTATCTCTTGGTTCATACCTCACCCTTAGCTCCATAAGCATTTATTAAGCCCCTGTCATGTGCGGAGCACTGTCCTAGGTACTGGGGAAGATGCAGAGTTTACGTGAGACACAGTCCCAGACTTCCAGGCACTCACGTGTTCATAGTTATCTGGTTGCGATATCAGCACAGACAAGTGATGAGTATTGTGATTAAAAAATACTGGGTCCAAGGGGGCTGGTTGTGTAACCAAGCAAGGGGAGAGATCGGGATGGGACTCCTGGATGAGATGGCATTTCAATTAGGATTTAAAGGAAGAAAGAACAAGCACTTATTAAGCACCTACTATGTGCTGGGTGCTGCGGTGGATAGAGTGCCAGTCAGGAAAACCTGAGTTCAAGTCCAGTCTCAGACACTCACTAGTAAGTTGCTTAATCCTGTTTGCCTCAGTTTCCCCATCTGTCAAATGAGCAGGATGCAGCAAACCACTCCAGTATCTTTGCCAAGAAACCCTTAAATGGGGTCATGAAGAGTTGGACACAACTGAAAAACCAGCACGTGCCAAGCACAGGGCTTGCTAAACACTTTGCAAATCTTAAAGGAATGCATAAGGCAAATGGGACTGGCGTCAACTTGTGGGGGAAATGAATGAGGAAGAGGAGAGCCTCTAACAGGGGGATTTAAGCCTTTGCTCATCAACAGTCTAGAGTCGGGGGTTGCCTCTGTTCATTGTTACGAATCAATTGATCAGCAACTCCCAGGCTGCACTGTGCACGAAGGAGCAGTCAGAGAATCTGTTCAGGTCAGGTGGGGAGGACAGACCACCCGATAGGAAGTCACACAGTCTTGGATTCTGAGCTGGTCATCTAGTCCAGCCCCCTTCATTTTACAGATAAAGAAACTGAGGCCCAGGGAGATTAAATGAGTTAGGGTCCTGGGATCCTAGATCCGGAGAGGCCCTCAGAGGCCATCTAGGAGTGGTTTTACATTGGAGGAAACTGAGGCCCACAGTGAAAAGTGACTTAGCACACAGAGGAAGAAGTAAACGGCAGGGCTACAATTCAAAAGTAGAGCCACTAATTCCAACCTCATCGTTCACTATTTAAACCAGAGAAAAATGAGCTATTATGGAAGGGTATGAATTGTCCTCCAGGGTCCTTCCAAAACCATCAGCTCTTCCTTTGAGGCCAGGCCGCCCACAGGCACAAAGCTGCGGTCAATTAATTCCTGTTGCTCCCATTTTTGTTCTCCAATCATGTCCAACTCTCATGACCCCATTTGGGGTCTTCTTGGCAAAGATACTGGAGTGGTCTGACATTGTCTTCTCCGGCTCATTTTACAGATGAGGAAACTGAGTTAACAAAGTTAAGTGACTTGCCCAGGGTCACACAGCTAGTGAGTGTCTGAGGGTGGATTTGAACTCGGGCCTTCCTGACTCCAGGCTGGGCGTTCTATCCACTGCACCACCTAGTTGCCATTACCACAATGCTAATTTCCTACACCCCAGGCTTCCATTCCCATGGTTCTCCACGCATATACCCTCCCCTGTAAATCAAGGAAAATGACATGCTTTCCTAAAATTCAATGTGCTTTCCATTGGACTTTCCCAAACCTCTAATTTTCTTTTTTCTACAGATCTGTTACGCTATTAGCTTGGGGAAAGAAATTATTGAGGCTCAGAAGGTAAGAGGTCTTTGAGTTGTAATTTATCATTACCCAAACCAGCATTTTTCTAAAGCATGCTTGCAACAAAATCCGAATTAGCTCCGATGAATAAAATGAAAATAGCATGGCTGATTTTTGCGGGGTGCAGTTAAAGGGAGGAAAGGGCTTTTTCTCATACTACCCAAGTATCACTATAGAGGACAACAACACACACACACACACACACACACACACACAACCTGTCCATTGGTATCAGTCGTGCATCACGTAACAAGATGTCACCTCTACACTTGGTTGGGACTACAATGAATCACATGCCTGAACTTATAAGCCTCCTCAGGTGCCAGATCATTCATGCATTTGTTGTTCAACAAAGCATTTATTAAATGCCTACTATGTTCTAAGGCACTAGGAGAGATGTTACAGATACAGAGATGGAAAATTTCCTCAGGGATCGGCCAGTATAATGGGGGGAAGGATACACAGGCCAGAGGCAGAGATAACATGTACCCAAGCAAGTCCTATAAAAAATATGAGGAGATAGCTCATTTTATTCATTATGCGGTATAGATTGTGTTAATTAAAGGGAGCCATGGAAGACAAAAAGTTAAGGAGAGCCAGAAGACTCCAAGAAAACTTCGTGGAAGAAATAGGGTTTGCCATGACCCATGAAGGAGGGGCAAATTTTAGACCACAGACTTACAAACAGAATCAGTCAATTAATAAGCATTTTTTCAGAGCTTGCCATATGCCAGGTGCTGGAGATATAAAGACAAAAACTAAACAGTTCCTGCCCTCAAGGAGCTTAGAGTCCATTTGTGGATATAATAGGAGCATAAACAAATAAAACGCAGTTGTCGGGAGGAGGTGCTAGCAACTGGAGGGATGAGGAAGGGCCTCATCTAGGAGAGCTTGGGCTGAGCTTGCAGGAGCATTAGGGATTCTGAGATGCAGAAATGAGGAAGGAGCACATTCCAAGCACAGGGAAGGAACATCTATGCAAAAGCCCCCAAATAGGAGATGGAATGTGTTATGTGCTACAGCAAGCAGGCTGCTTAAGCTGGACCATTAAAATGCATGCAGGGCAGTAAAAGGAGCTTGAAGGGTCACCAGGGGCCAAAGGAGTTTGTGCCTTCTTGTTCTAGAGGGGCAGGGGAATGACATGGTGAGACAGTGCCTTGGCAATATCACTCTGGCCCCTGCGTAGAGCATAGATTGGAAAGGGAAGAAATATGAGGCAAGACCAAGGAGGATGCTATCTATCATCATAGTCCAGTGAGAGACAATGCAGGCCCACTCTCGAATGGAACCCATATGAGTAGAGAGGTTTGGGAGGCAGAGTGAACAAGACTTGCCAGATGTTTAGACATGTGGAGTGAAAGTTGAGGGTGTGGTCACTTGGGGGACTAGTAGGATAATGATGTCCTTTACACAAACAGGAAACATAAGAAGAGGGGTGGGTTTAGAGGGGAAAATGATGAGCCTTTTTGGACCTGTTGAGCTGAAGGGGCCTGTGGGACATCCCACAGAACCAGTCTTGGGAGGTTGTGATAAGCACACCCCTCTTTTCCTGTGCACCCTGCCTTGCTACATATGTTTTGTCCACCCCTCACTGCAGGACCCAGAAGCACTGGCTCAGCTCATGCTCTCCATGCCACTGACCAGTGACGGGAAGTTTGTGTTACTGAACGACCAGCCAGACAGTGAAGATGGAAACCCAAATGAAAGTAAAGGAGCCGAGTCTGAAGCATGAGCTCACGTTTGCTGGTGGGGAAGACACTGGGGAGGCCTCTCCACACGGTTCTTGGTGTTTCTTGCCACTGGCCAGTTTCTGAATTTTGACAATCAGGGGCAGAATGTTTCATCCCAGCCTTGGGGCTGTGAGACCGAGAAGGGGCGACTGTAAGGAACGGTTGATGATGTCTCATTTCTGCCGAGGTTAAAATGTTTTAGGTACCTTATAGCAAAGTCCTTTTCCTTGTTTGCATCATTTAGTTTTGAATGAAGGTTAAGGGGTAAAAAATGCACTGTTCGCTTTATTTTTAAATGAAGTAAACGCTGTCTCCTCGGTTCCTAGCGTCCTTTCTAAGTGTGGCAGTAGCCTAGATTTACAATTTGATAAACACTAAATGTTTCCTATTAATATAATCTATTTTTGTACTTCACCTAATAAGCTTCAAGTGCCTCTCATTCTTACATGACCATTCTGTAAAGAAACACATTTACAGGGCCGCCATCCTTGGACTCCCGGACTTGAGAGTTTTCTCCTGCAGGTGGGCAGAGTGCACAGTTTAGCTGCCTGAGATGTAGGGTCAAATCTGGCTTTGGACGGCCATCCCACACATGCAATAAAAACTTCAGCACAAGGCGGCGTATGATTTTGTAATGAAACAAAATGCAACCAGCACCCAGACGCCCTAGAATGAGTGGCAGGCCTTTTTCTGTGGTGGAGTCCCATGTGGAAATTCATGTGCTGCTCCCCGGATCCTCATTTGTGCTGAGCCAGACCTGTCCCAGGGAAGGGACCAATTGTTTCTAAAGTGGACTGAGCCACAACCAGGAAAGGCTGGAATTCAAAGCCCAGTTTACCCACCCTCCCGACCCCCATGCATGGACTTAATATCCTTCCTACTGATACCCTAACCAGATCTGACGACGGAGCCAAGTGTCTTACTCAGTTGGATTTCTAGTCTGCCGCTGGGCCCTGTAATCCTCCCCGTCCCATGAAATAAGCAGAATGGAATAATGATCTTGAACTGGTGTGGCTGACAGTGACAGAGTCTGACAATTCACAGTTGTCTTTGTTATTGAATTAGTCTAGCAATAAATGCTAGAAAATTAAAAAAAAGTCTGTATCATTCCGCTTCTTCTCATTATTTGCTAAAAGATTGTCTTTAGCAAGGCAACATTATCAGTCTGATGGATTCTATAGCTTGTTTCCTAAAAAAAGAAAATGTCAAAGTCTCACGTTCCTGTAAGACTTCCATTTTGCCTCAGACTGATGAGGGAAAGGTGCTTAACCATAAATTGATGTTTGATTGTAGTTAAAAAAAAAAGCCTCAGCTTTAGAATGCCGTCTTTACATAAAACATTTAATTCAAACTGACTCAATCACCTATAATCCAGATGAGAGGCATGTCTGTAATGGACAGTTTCCTCAGTCTCTCACAATATATTTAGTCCCTAAACAGGGGTGGGGAATCTGAGGACGTAGAGTACCACATGTGGTTTCCAGGCCACAAATTCCCCACTTACAGTATCACCCTGAGTCAATCAAGCAGCGTTTATTAATTGCCTACTACATGCCAGGCACTGTCCTAAGGGCTGGAGATACAAAGGCAAAACCCAGGCCCTGTTCTCAAAAAATTCAGTCAAATGGTGGAAAAAACACATAAACAAATACGTATAAAGATACACCAGGTGGCCCAATGGAGAGAATGCTGGGCCTGGAAATCAGGAAGACTTGAGTTGGTGAGGAACGAGCCATGGAAGTCTTACAGTGGGGTTGAAGGGTGAGTTTCTTCATCTTTCTCTTAAAATACACTGAAAATTTCCCTTAAGAGGGCCCAAGTTAATTAATAAATTCGAGGGTGGGGGGAAGAAGGCCCAAGTTAAGGTTAAAAGTGAAGTGTTCTTCCTGCCACCCATACATGGCTGAGCCAATTACAAAGAACTGATTCTAATGCGTGGCAGTATGCTCAAACCAATCCTAAGTCAGGATACTGTACTGCCTTTGTTTTTTGTGTTTTCAATGACTTCCTTCTGTTCTGGTAAACCATGGTAGAATTAACCCTGGACGGATTCCCAAGATATTAGAGATGGCACAGATTCTTCTGTTGTATCTTGGTTTAATCAATATCTTATCTCTCCATAATATTAATTTTTGTAGCAATGTCTAAATGGACTCAGAATTTTATCTTAGAAGGGAAGGGGAGCAAGCACGTGCCGCACAGCTGCAGAGGACAGTCCACAGACACAACTGTCCTCAATGAAATAATCCCAAAGCATTCTTTCCAAGTAAACCTGCTGTCCAAGTCAGTGACGAGTTCACTCATCATGGACATTAATTTCCATTTACTGAGGCTAAAAGTCTGCCAAGAAAGCCTGGGCACAAAAAGCTTCTACGGCACCATCAGACGCTGAATGTACAGAAACCGAAGACAAAAAACCCACCCCATAAAACCGCCCCGCATTGGTTCAGCATGACTTTATTTTTGTGGTCTGTGAGACAAGCATTTGTTTTTTATAAACTAAATCCCAACTGGACACAGCTGTGGTCATCAAGCCCGGCTCAGTGCCCAGCAGGCCCCCTCAACCTCTGGCGACATTTCCATTCGTCTTCCTGAGGTCCACACTCCTCATCTGAAGTCTCTGGAGATATCCAGCATCCTAATGGAACATTCCCCTCATGTGAAATTTCTTTGAATAAAATTGTAGAACCGAACCTGTCACATGACAAGGAAGACCATCTTGTCTTGAAATTCTATGTCACCATAGCTTCTCGGGGGCTTTTCAGGGCAGGGAGCAATATGAAATAGGCAGACTTTCTACCATCTGCCAATGCAGCCACAGCTATCAGAGGAGAGGAAATACTGCCGGCAAAGTAACCTGGTCAGTACCTAAGCACACGCACCAAAGGTTCTGTCACCTTGCTTCTCTGGCATTTTACTCCGGAAGAAGGAGGAGCTAACTATGCGGCCTCTTCACATGGCTCTTCTCCACCCTGGCCTCCGGTGATGCGACGCTTTCTCCATTGTGCCAAATCGTCTCTGGGCTATGCCACTGCTAGTGAGGCTTGGCTCTTGCTTTTAGGTAGCACCACGATCCTGTCAACATCTCTGACGATGCCAACTGAGTCACCTACCAGGGCTAAAGCCATCAAAAAAACCCAGGGGTTCTTTTTCACTTGCAAATAGCAACCAGTGGAAGAGATGGACTTAGAAATGGTAGCAAGGAAGTTATGAGAACTTCATTAAAAATAACTCAGAAATTTTCTTATAGGACATTTAATTTTGAACATAAAAATTCAGGGGAATGAAAATCATTAAATTTACTGACAGTTTAATGTACAGAGTGTATTTTGCTCCACAAATGGGAGGGTGGAGGGGAGGAAGGCTGACAACAGAAATAAGGTTAAACAAATCCTAATTTTTTAACAAAGAGAAGAGACAATGTTATACTTGGTCCTTAATTCCTGAGAATTTGATTATCTTTGTTATTAAAGAGCTTACAACGAGTGCTTACATTCATCCCTAAATTATAGTACATTAGAAAAACAGGAAGCTATGGGAATCAACAAGGAAAGTTACCACTGTCTTAAAAGTCCAACGGACAGGAGTACATGTGTCTTCCTATGGCTCTGCGGCCAAACAGAGCGTGGCCGAGCGCCGTGGCATCCTCACACCGGTCTGGCCCCACACGTGGATTTGTCAGCCCTCTACAGATGGGACAAAGCACTGTGAACAGTAATGCCCAACCCTTCCCAATGGCAGGTGGCCAGGTAAGAATAGAGGTAAAAGTGTCGGCTTCACCTGGTAACGGGGAAGCCTTCAACTGACAATATGTTTCGTGAGCTCCACTGAAAGGCGGGAGCCAGTTCTCCCTCCAATTACAATTAGTTGATATTAGACATCATGTGTGGGTTTAAAGTTAGAACAGCAATCCTGTGGGGATTATTGCAAGGCAGTGACTAATTTGGTACAATTAAATGCAAGATCATTTAAGAACATTCAAATATAAAAAGGATGAATTATGCAGCGTGCTTTAGGGGCCATTTCTGCAGTTAGGATGAAGCATAAATCAAGGAGTGAATGCTTTCAGGACATTACCAATCCATAATGCTAGGTCATGTTTAAAGAAGAAGCAAAAACAATTCCTTTGACTTTCAAATGAAACATGTTGACTCCGGAAGAGGTAACACAGACTCTCACCAATGAGTCCACAAAGGATGGAAGGACACCGCGCACTGCTCCCAAGGGGTGGAAATCAAAAGACCAACACTGAAGTAAATTACAGCATTTCTTGAAAGAAATACTAGGACAGGCAAATGCAATAGAAAAACAAGTCATTCCTGGATATAAATTTGAATTACACTAAAAGTTAAGCCCCTTTTTATTCTAAGTAATCTTTTTAATGCATTTTAATATGCTAAGATTGGCCTTTTAGGTGTTAATTGGTACAACTTGACAAAAATAAAACTAGCAGCTGGCCAACAGCCCATGATACTCAGAGCTTCTGGAAGCTGGATTTCGGTTATTATATCTTATTCTCACAGTGGTTAGTTTTTTTATGCCTGCACAGTGCAAATATTATTTCATGTGAATCCACTTGGATTATAACCTGTTAAAAGAAAAGGCATTTCAAAGTTTCCTTGAATTCAGGCTTGATGTAAAAAGAAACCTGAGTGTGAATGTGGGAATAAGCTTTCCTCTCTTATTCTGAGAGCTGTCCCACAGTGTCCTCAACCAGTCTCTGAAGAAGTTGGGCCCTCACTTTAATCTTCCTTAATTATGAGTACCAAGAAACAAACTTTCAATATTATCATTTAATGTAATGCGGTTTAAGTGTTTTCAGAGCATGTAAACTGAGTGCACAATGACTCACAGCAGGCTTCCAGAGCTCTGGTAGGTCTACGCAGCATGTTACTAATGGATGATCCCAAATTGCCTCGACTGGGCGCCCATTAAACAATCCAGGCCATATTAACGGTTTTATTCTAAGTCTCTTTACAGTGTCATATATGCTTTTAGAATTTGACCATTAATCTCTATATTTAAATAATATTTGCTAGATATGCACAGTATCTTTATTAAATTTTGTTGCCATGATAGTTGAAAATCTTTAACTGATTTAACGCAAATCATGAATCAATGGCCTATCACAACACAAACTCCCAACATACACGTGGATGCCAAGAGAGCTGCAGAGAGCAGACCAGGAATTCAGATTTGCATTCCTATAACTTGAAACCATAACCATTCAAAAATAAGCATGTCATTTTGTAGGCTACTGTAGGCCAGGACCAATTTTTGAAAATTCTTTCAGCACCTTCTAAAATGAAAGTCTTTAAAATGGACATAGCTTTAAAGCCTGGCCCCCAAAGAAGGCCTGGGACATTGCACGTCTGGAGATGGGCTGGCCCGGTCAATAATCCATGTATCTCAAGGCTCCTAAGGTCCAAGCTACAACGGCCGGTGTAAACAATGCTGGTTACCTGGTGCTTCCCAAGCCCAGCTTCATAATCACTTCACCACAGGATCAGTGAGGGCAGAACTGTTGCTGCTGGGCATGGGGTCTTCACTGTTTGTTTTATTTTCTTCTAGAAGCATAAGAAGCAAAAATATACATTACATTCATTTGCAAAATGAAAAAAAAATTAAGGCAAACATTCTGGAGAAATCAGGTCTTGCTCTCTTTCTGCTAAACAAATATTTGACTGCACCTGAATAGCTCTCTCCAGTACTTTAGCCTGAAGTAAGAAGTGAGCAGAGAAGAAGGCCAAGCTGACCTGCTCTCCCGTCATTTCCACTGGGCTCTTGTGTTCTGGAATGACAAGCTCCATGCTGCTACGTCAAGGCACAACACGAATCAAGAGAAATCATCTCGCTTTCCACTGGCACAGGCGAGTAGCTCCTCAGGATGGTGCCACTCACAAACGCTTTAGAGAAATGGGATCTGAGCTTGGCTTTGCCACTAATTAGCCAGCTGCATGACCCCCTCTGGGCCTCAGTTTCCTCATCTGAAACCTGCAGGGGTGCAACTAGAATAACCCGCACTTCTTACACCGTGGGTCTCGACCCTGCAGAAGTGCTGAAGGGGTCACGAGTGGAAAAAGTGGAAGAAGCCCTGGACTAGAGGATCTTATTCTCATGGGCTTTGAATTCTATGATTCAACTGATTCCAAAAAGTATCACTATGGACAGGGGTCCTGCCTTCCTGAGCAGACTGCTCCACAAATCTGATCCATAGACAGGCAAAGATTTTATCTACTAACCTATGTGGCCACTGCGCCTGCATCCTTGAGCAACCTGCAGGCGCCTCCCAAAGAGACCCAGGGGTGCAGCACAACCCACACACCAGTGCAGGACCCCGGCGGCACCAGATGCCCAAACACCAAGGAGCGGCAGGGTCCCAGAAATGAGGCCACGCTTCTTGTGACCCTCCTGCTGAGTCACCGAGGACTCCACAGTGCAAGGGCTAAAGCCAGGGCTCTTCCATTCCAATCTGTGCCTGGCGGAATAGGACTCAATTTCCTGAAATCATCCTGGACAATTCCATCTATCTTATCACCAATCTGCCAGCCTATCAGCTAGTTCACTCTCTGGACTGTACTGGGACTACTCTAAATTACTGGGTCATGCATTATCCTGGCTACTGGAAGTGAGCAGAAAGTGTGTATCCCCCCCAAAAAAAGCATCTTGAAAACACCACTTAAATGCACATTTACTGATTACTCAGTTCTAACTTCAAAAATATCTCAATGTTCTGAACTAGTAAGGACAGTAACATTTCATTTAACTGGCAATAGTGGGGAACAAGGCATTCCATATAAATGAATTTTCCAGGTAACTAAAGCTTGTTCAAGTGCCAAAAGTTTTTCTTAGCCCACCTTTAGTGAAAAACTTTCTAAAATATATTATCTTTCAGCAAGTTTCTCAGGTAAAAGTCTCACTTCCATTAAAAAAAGACTGAAATTTATAAGAATAAGAGCTATTCTCAAGTTGATAAATGTCTAAGGACATGAACATGCAGCTCTCAAAAAAAAGTAATCAAAGTTAATCATGATACAATATAAATAAAAAATGCTCAAGTCGCTAATAATTAGAGAAATACAAACTGAAACAGCTCTTACATACCACCTCACACCAATAAGATTGGCTAACAGGACAGAAAAGGAAAAAAAAAAAAAGAAAATGATGTGGAAAAACAGGGCTACAAATGCTGTCTTGGAAGAGTGGTGAACTAATCCAATCATCCTGGAGAGCAATTTGGAACTATGCCCCAAGGGCTATAAAACTGTGCATACCCTTTGGCTCAGCAATAGCACTTCTAGGGCTGTATCCCAAAGAGATCAAAGAAAAGAGGAAAAGGACCCTTATGTATAAAATAATTATAGCAGCTGGAGAGGGTACCCATCAACTGGGGAACAGCTGAACAAGCTGTGGTACATAATTGTGATGGGATACTAATGTGCTATAAGAAATGACCAGCTGGGGCCGGGGGGTTTGGGGGGGGGGGAGCAGCTAGGTGGTGCAGTGGATAAAGCACTGGCCCTAAAGTCAGGAGTTCAAATCTGGCCTCAGACCAGATATCTGACACTTACTAGCTGTGTGACCTTGGGCAAGTCACTTAGCCCCAACTGCCTTTAAAAAACAAACAAAAGAAATGATGGGGGGATGGTTTTGGAAAAACCTGGGAAGACTTACACGAACAGATGCAAAGTGAAATGGTCAGAACCATAACAAGTTATACAATAAACAACAACATTGTAAAGATAATCAACTTTGAAAGACTTAATCACTCTAATCAACAAAATGACCACCCACAACTCCAAAAGGCTCATGATGAAACACTCCCCACTTCCAGGGACTGACAGACTCAAGAGGGCAGACTGAAGAATACTTTCTTTTCTTTAGGACGTGCCTAATGTAGGAATCTGTGATGTGTGACTACACATATTTGTAATGACTTTTGTTTCTCTTGCCTTCTCAATGTGGTGGGGAGCAGGGAGAGGGTAAGAAAGACAATTGGGAACTAAAAATGGAAATTTTAAAAAGGAAGAAAAGGACTCCTGTGTACAAAAACACAACTCTTATGCCGTGGCAAACATCTGGAAACTAGAGGCTGCCCATTAATTGGGGAATGTCTTAAGAAATGATGACTGTAATGAATACTGCTGTGCCACAAAACGATAGAGGACAGTTACATGGCAACCTGGTGAGATGTGCGTGACGACTTGTATGATGCAGAGTGAAGGAGCCAGCCAGAAGAACAATTACAGGGACAATGCTGTCAAGACAAAGCACTTGGGAAGATGCAATTCCTCCGATTAAGGCAACAACCAACCAAGATTCCAGAATACTGAGGAGGAAGCCCCTCACCTACCTCCTGACAGAGAGCTGTGGGACTCAAGATGCAGAAGGAGACGTATATTGTTATGATATGGTCAATGGGGCGATGGGAGGATTTATTTTGCTAGACTGCATGTGTGGTATAAGGGTTTCATTTTTCTTTTTTAAAATAGGTTGGGGAGAAAATAAATGCTTGTTAATAGAAAAGAAATAGAATTTAAAAAAATAAAATATGTTAATACTTCCTTCCTTGCCTTCCCACCCAGTGTATCACCATGCACGATTTCCTTGATGACTCATTATCACTCATGATGCTATCTTACAACATGGCAGTGCCTTGGGAAGAATGAAAACAAGGTTTCCAAAGTGTTTTCCTAACAAGCTTGTGAGGCAGGCCAGCTCGATATGATCTCCCTTTAGAGATGAGCAAACTCTGATAAGTGGGGCACTCCTTTACCTCAATGCTTCAGCGCCTGCCTCTTACATTCCTGTCCCCTTTCAACAGCAGGTTTTCAGCTGCATCTCAGCACTTCAGGGTGCCTGCCTGCACCAGTATTCTCCCGGCCCTTTTTTACTGACTTGCTGATAATTATCAGCGGTTCAGGACACCTGATGCATAAGCAGGTTACAACTGAGAATAAAAGCCAGCCAGGCTCTGAGCAAGGCCCAAAGTTCTCAGAGGAAAATGCAAAGCAGCAGTCTGGAGCTACACTAAGACCCTTTTCATTGACTTCTGGAATCAAGACTGTTTCCCCAAGGATTGAAGCTGTCAGTTTGCCCTGTAGAGAAGTGAGACACTGTACAACGTTGAAGAACTATTCATTAAACTTTCCAAAGCTAAATTTACTAACCTTCTTTCTCTTTCTTTTCCTGGTTTTCTTCAGCTGCAGTCTTGTCTGCTCTAAAGAAAATTCTTGCACTACTCAGTGAGAAATAGAGTAATTCAAATTCCTAAATAAAAATAATGGAGAACATTTAAAACAACTTCTAATATTTCCTATCTTATTTTTGAGATCTTACTGAACCATCAGATAAAGAAACTCAATCAAGAAATGCACTCCCTTTGATGAGATTCTGGCCTGAGGGTTCCCAGGGCCGATTCCTCCACCTTCCAGAGTGTCGTGAGGATTCTGCCTCTAGCGAGGCGCTGGATGCCAGAGGTGGACCGAGTCCTTACCTGTAAATAGACATCGAGGCGCTTCTGGGTCAGATTCATCGTCTGCAGCAGTTTCTCATCCTGGCCGGCTGACTGCACGTTCTGCTGCTTGGCCACGGCCCTCATCTCCTTGAGGTACTTCTCTCTGGCAGACTGGAACCAGTGAAGCGAATCAAACTCCTGGTACTGATCTAGGAGCTTGAGAATATAAGCCACACCTGCAGCCATGAACAAAGAGAAATGACAATAAATTCAGGCATGGAAGTGAGTCTGTTAGTCTTCATTTTCATCACAAAACTAAGTCATTTAGAATGAGTCCCCTTTAAATTCCATTTCATAGCTTAGCTGAAGGACACACTACAATCCCATCTTTTTCATTTCTCCAAGGAGGAAAAATGCTACAAACTACATTTCAAGATCTCAAAAGAGGTCTTGCCAAAACAAAACAAACAAACAAAAAAAAAGCCATTAATTTCCCAACACACCAGGCAGCAGGTGCCATGGTGATGGGGGGGAGGGAGCAGAAGGGAGCTTTGCCTCCTCGGGGCAAGGCAGTCATGGAAACCAGCCAAACAAGAACATCCGGAAAACTACCCTGAAAACCCAGACGGAATGGGCACAGGTATCAGAAATACTACAGGCACATTAATGAGAAGGGTGAATGATGCCCACAAGTCCGGCCAAGAAGGAAACATACAGTCAATACTATTTACCACCAACAACATGCAAAGAGCCAAGAGCTCCATTTTCCAGGAAATTTTTCCAACAATCTATGACGCTGTGCACATAAAACTAATGGAAAACACAATCCAGTCAGACTTACCCATGGCAAAGCCATCATCGGTAAAAGCTGCTCCCATTTTATTCTTTTTATTCAATTTCTCCTTGCAGCTAATGGAATGTTCTACAAAATTGAGGGTCTGAAACGGAAAGAGTTGATGGTTGGGAAGAGCAGATCCTGGCCAGACAAACAGCAGATTGAGGCATAGCCTCCACGTGCATCCACATAAGCTTCCTTTGCTCTGAAAGGCTGTCTGCGGGCGACGTGTATCTGGACTCTGGCGTCTCCATCCCTGGATCTATTTCCTCCCTCTGTGTTTCAAATGTAGTCAGCACCCCTTGGCCTCTTCTCTCCACATGCCCCCCAAAGCCATCAGTCACTCTACCTCAGCAACCTTCTGGCCGGCCCTGACCTCTCTCCTAAGCCCCAGTGTCCCATTTCTCAATGCCTATCACTGTTCCCATCTGGATGACAGGCTCTTACTTCAAAATCAACACATCACGGCTTCCCCACAACACTGCCTCCCTCTGCTCTGCCTTCCCTCCTTCAATGAACAAATGGAACCACCCATTCAAGTCACTGAGATTCAACACCTTGTCTCTTGTTTCTCCATCAGCCCTATAACCAATTAGTCATAATGTCCTTTTTCCCTTCAGAAGCTCTGACAAATGAGTCCCTTCCTCTTCCTTCCCACTGCTGTCACATTAGCTTGGCCCTATGACTATATGCTCAGCTTACTATAATCATCTTGAACGGTCCCTCTCGCCACCAGAGGGAGGAGATGGTCTCCATCCATTCCATTAATGATCTAAAACAGTGCTTCCACCATGCCACACTCCTGATTATAAACACTCCCTGACCACCTACAGGATCACCAAGGTTCCTCACTCTCTAACAAGTCTGAAGTTGAACCAAACCAGTTCGCTTGTGGTCTTCTACATGGTAAACAAATCTCGTGTTTCCTTCTCTTCATATCTCCCTCCTCCAATTGGCCATCTCCTGCCAAACTCGTGGTTTCCAGCTCTAGTCTCATCTACTGACAGGCCTGTGTCTTCCTCACTTGAACACCCAAGATAATTACTCCCTGCAGAATTAATCTGCCACATTTTCTCCACTGTTATTTCGAAGAGTTCACGCAATCCTATTATCTGAGTTGTCAGGCATCTACATCTTGTGACCCAACTCCAGCTGCTTGAAGGAAGAAGGCCTGTGTCCTGGACTGAGCACACAGTGCCTTACACCTTACAGCAGGTGCTCCATTGATGCGTGTGGACTGGACTGAGCACACACTATGCCTCCTCCATAGCTATACTTTACATCTGTTTCACCTCAACATGCCCCGGAAAAACCCTCAGTAGATGAACAGTTGTTACGTTTTACAGGGACCTGACTTTCAATGGAGAAAACAAATCCTGAACCTAGAGGCAGTCACACTGCTATTGAAATACATCTGATTCACTTCCATTTTATCCCTATCATGTTCTCAGGTTGACAAAGAATACTTGTAGGGTATGTGTTAGAATAGGATGGAGCATTAGACATTTAGTTAGGATGTCAGGACATTCTACCGAACATTTCCCTTCCTAGATGCTGGTGGAACCTTTCTCAAGGTTTGACAATTACAATCTGTCATTATTAAGTAATTATTACCTAAATGTCCTTATTAATTTAAAATTAGAAAAATCAAGCCAACAATTCTGCAAATAAGAAAACAATTGGAAAGAGTATGATGAACTAATCTAGTCTGGTTCTAACAATGGCATGTTGGCGAGCAGCCTCTTCACAACAGATGTGCTGAGTCGCAAACAGCTGGCTAGGAACACTGAAGAGCAGACACACGGAAGGCAGGCTCGGCTTCACTGTGCCAGGAATCGTCCAGAACGTCTCCAACACTAACAAAGCGTCAATAGTGTGCACAGAATACCTCATATAACATTCTCTCATGACCAAATGTGACTGGCACACAGTAGGTGCTCCCAAACTTGTGCCCTTCCCTTCCCCTCCAGGCTGCAAAGGGCCTCCCTGAGATTCGCAGGCTCGAGGTACTGACCAAGGGAGGGACGATGATGTGGAAATTTCGAAGGTGCACATTCTTGGGACTCCGGAATTCAGGAGCGAAAACATCCACAAGCATTCTGAAATACTCTGTGCCTTCTGCAGAATTCCGTGTGTGGTCACTGAGGACTGAGTCCAGCTGCCTGAAGAAAGAGGGTGAGGGGGTGAGGGGCGGAGAGGACAGGCTGAAAAGATACATGGCTGTTTCCTGCCCCCCGCTGAGGAAGCAGAGATGTTAACCAACTTCCGCCATCATCATTGCTCGAGGGCCCGAGGAGCTGTAGCAGGGCTCCAACCTGTGGAAGGCGCTCAGGAAAGCTGAACCACGTTCTGTACAAGAAGTGGCAAGAGGCTAAGCAGCTCTGAGGCCAAGAGTCAAACCACCAGGCTGCTGCCAAAGGAAGACCAATCCCCAAACCCTGGCTGTCTTCTAATGCCCCAGCCTCTCTGGCTGCTCTTTTAGTCATTCCCCAATTCGCCAGTCAGAATATTCCCTGCTCCCCACTCTCCCGCTCCCACTATCCCTCAGTCACCTCTTCTCCTGTGAGGGTCATTCATTCCAAATTTACCATCCAGTCAAGATTCTGGTGGCTGTCACCTACCAAGCCCGAAGACATTCCCCTTCCTTTCCTCCTCAATGAGTCCAGTCCCTGGCTCGCTGTCTTCCTCCCCATCCCAACCCCTGGCCTCAAACTAGGACACTTCCACATCCACAATGATACTCCCTCAAACACTCCAACTTCCCAGTTCCTCAGACCCCACCTCAGTTACACAGACAGTCATAAACTGGATCCTGCCATCACCCCCAAATGTTCCACTTCTGTAATCAAGGACTCTGAAATTCCATCACTCTGTCTTTGCCTCTGCCTTATGATCTATAACCCTCTTCAACACACCTGTGACTTTACTCCTTCAAGCCCTTCACCCCTCGGTCCAGGACCAGGCCGTCCCCTTGGCACCAGCCACACACTCGCTGCTTCTTCCCTCCCCCCCCCCCGCCCCTGACCCCAACACCTTGGTAAACTAGTTCCACTGATCCTACCCTCAAATCTCTTGTCTCCTTCTCCTACTGCTAAGCACATCTTGCATCGTGCCAAGCTCCACGTGGACTACTTGTGCCCAACCTGTGGTACAGCCTTCAACCTCGCATTGGTCTTATCAGCCACAGACAGACGCACTGTACCTCGACTCTGACACAGTGACACATCATTGTGGCCCTCTTCAAGCCCAGAGGACAACCAGGACAACCACCACGCTCCACCCTTGGACACTCCCATTCATGTGCTGCTAACCTATCCTCAGTCCAGTTTCCAACATCATCAATCCAATGAAAATGCGCTCTTCCCCACATTACCAAATCCAGTGGCCTTTTCTCCATTCTCCTCATTCTTGCCACTTCCATAGCCCTGACACTGTCAATCACCCTCTCCTCTCTACATTTCCACATTTCTCTCCCCTGGTTCTCCTCCCAAAGAGGAGGTCCGACCACTCCTGGATTTTCACCTAAGTCAAGCCCACTCAACATGGGGCCCCCAAGGCTCAGTGCTGAGCCCTCCTCTCTTCTCCCACTACACCACCTCCCTCAGTGATCTCAACAGCTCTCATGGATTCAATTAGCTTTCCTAGGCAGATAATCCTCACATCTACTCATTCAGCCTCAGCCTCTCCTCTTACCTTTGTTTCACATCTCAAATACCTAATGGATATCTCCAACTCAATGTCTGACGGACACCTCGAACCCTAGCATGTTGGAAACTGAACTCCTCGTCTTTCCTGCTCTTGCTACCTTCCCTCTTGCTGTTCGGGGCAGCGCCGTCCTCCTGCTGACCCAGGCTCTCCACTATCTCCCACCCCCACAGCCAGTCTGCTGCCAGGACCCATCCATGTTACTGTACTGATATCCCTGGTATGAGCTCCCTTCTCCCCTGACAGAGCCACAGCCCTGGGCCCTCCTCACCTCCCACCTGGACTCCCACAACAGCCCTCTCAGTTATAACCTCCTTGCCTCAAGTCTCTCCCTACTCTATTCTGCTAACAAGTGATCTTCCTAAAATGAAGGCATGACTGTGTTGTAATATGTGAGATATATCAATTCTATATGTGTGTCATGATGGAATACATCTCTTCACCAAGCTCCAGTGGCTCACTGGCTCATGAAGCCCTTTTTCATCTCCTTTCCTCCCCTACACATCCTCTATGGTCCAGGCACATGCCTTCTGCTCTTTCTCACCCACGAGACGCCATCTCCCAGCTCATGGCAATCCCAGCTCAAAATGCACCCTTCTGTGTGTGTACAACAGCCCAGGGAGTAGGTCAAGAAAACTACCCCGGCTGTGTGACCCTGGGCAAGTCACTTAACCCCACTTGCCAAAAAAACCCCCCAAAAAACAAAAAACAAAAAACCTCCCCTGAGCTGGCCCTGCTCTCCTCTGAACACACTTCCCCATCAGTTTGGTTCTTTCGGGTTCAAGGCTGTAGCTGTCTTCCTTTATGCAGATGGAGCATGAGTTAGTAAGCCTGTGAAATGGGGGGAATACCTGAATGAACACGGTGGTGATTTTTTCAGATTTCACATTTTTCATCGTGGATTTGCAAATGAAAAGATTAAAGTATTCAGATTAATGTAGTGCTGGTTTCAGTAGGAAGTCAATTCTAAAGAAATGAGAGATAATCTCTCCCCAATCTCCACAAGCCAGAGCCACTGGATAAACCTGAGAAGCTCGCCAATGTCCCAAAGCCCTAAGATTTTGGCCATTTTGGCTGACATCCTCCCACTGGCCAGAGTACGCTTGTACTGTGCTCCAGGGCCTAGAAAACCTATGACTGTAGGTGTTTTTATGCATACTCATATTTACATTTAGCATGAAACAAAGGGTCCATTTACTTTCAGTGTCTGCAATGTACCGGAAACTTTGCTGACTAAGTATAAATTAAAACACAAGTGTGCCTGAAAGCATATTCGTTATCTGCCCAAAAACCCCACGCTCTCTCCTCTACCCACAGTGATCTGGGGCTAACACTGAAGTGAGGAAAGTGACAGGTTTCTGGGGCCTATGCAATAACTTTTGATGCTGGAGCTGCTATAGCGACAAAGCATTTTTTTTCCTTTTGAATTGGAATATTTGAAAGAGGCAAAAGTAACTGCTTGTTTAAAGTCGTGCCAATATATCTAGGAGAAGTCTGCAGTCCCCCAACCAGCTGGGCACCACCGATCTCTCCTTCAGGCCCCAGGCAGCAGGAATACTGAAGTTACAAAGGAGCCACGGCACTTCAGAGCTGGAGGGAACAGTGATGGAAATCCAATCCAAACCACCCCCCAAAGAGTCTCCCCCACGGCATATGGGGTCACTGAGCCTCACACTGATGACCCCAGTGAAGAAGAGCCCAGAGAATCCCATGGCAGCCCAGCCCACTCCTGGCCAGCTCTAAAGACGAGCACTTTCATCCTCACATGCAGCCTAGAGAGGCCTTTTGGATATTGCCACCCCCCCTCAGAGACGCCCTCAGGGCCACAACAAACAAGTGTCCTTGTTCTCCCACCTTAACAGCCCTTAGAATATCTCAAGGCAGGTAGGTCAAAGCCTGGTTCTTCCTCTTACACACCCTAGGGGACCTCAGAAAGGCATTTCCCCCTCTGGGACCTGTTTCCTCATCTGCAAAATGAAGAGGTTGGACTCTAAGTCCATTTGAGTTCCAGGGCTATTGCCCTATGGAAACAAAATAGTTTTCAACCCAACATCAACATTTGAAACTTGAGAAATCACGTTGAGGCACACATTCTCCATTTCCTGAAAAAACACAGCACAGTGAGGCAACCAGCAGACCACTGAAATTGAGGCTCTGAGGCCAGCTGGATGAGATGTTACAAAAATACTTTCGTGACTCCCTATATGCAGAAAAGACAAGACAATGTAGTGACCATAGTACGTTCATGAGACACCATACAGAATTTGCAAAAGGAATGGAAAATAAGGTCAAAGAGAACCCAAGGCAAAAACAGCACCTCCCTAGAAAAGGAAAGAGACTTGGGCGCCCTTCAGAGGTCAACTTATTTTCCCCTGAGGAAGGTAGAGTCTTTCCCATACTTATACAAGTAAAAGAGAATACCAGGCTGGAGAGGGGGCTAACCTCTTACTGGCTATACCTTCCCTAACACTCTCAGACCAAAGAAACAAGCATTTTTTTAAAAGTCTACCTTTAAAACAGTCGTCCTCTTTCCTGTTTTTAGTGACTCAGGCATTGATTGTTATTCCTACAGGGTCTATGTTTACAGCAATATACAACAAACCAAAATTGAGCTTTTTCCAGTCCATCGACACAGAGACTCAAACAAGATGGGGTCAGTGGGCCAACATGGTAGGATGGGGGGCTTGACCACAACTTTTAAAACAGCTCTGGTGATTCTTTGTGACTTTGTGACTTAACTTAAAACAAAACACAATAATGGAAATGCTAAGAACCCATCTACCTGACAGTAAACCAAAGAGAAGTGATGGTTCTCCCCCAGCTCATTCTCACAAGTTGGGCGTACAAAAGATGGCCACGCAAAGAGCAGATGCCTGTGCTAAGGTGCCCAGCCTCTCCAGCCCTTCCCACTCTGAGCTCGTAGAAAGTGAGGAAAGAGATACTTCCTCTGCTTTCTCTCTTCACACAATAATACCAACTGTGTAACCTCACCCTTGTTCTTTCCCATGACTGCTCAAAGAAAGACTTACTAAAGTATGACAGTCCTTCGAAAAGCTATACCCTTTGTGAATTAGTGAGTGAGCACACTAAAAGTCTGCCACAGAGCACACTGAGATGCCACAAGATTTAGCTGTGCTGTGGGCCAAACTCATGCATCTCTCTCCCCTCAACAGGCACTATTTACAAAGGGTGTGCTGGTTATCTCTCTACCCCGGCGTTAAGTTTTATGGGAAAGGGCAGCTTATTTCAAGTTATCGCCGGGGAAGTCAAGTAAAGAGACAGCCACCATGCAAGTTACCTTGACCTTTCTTTCACTAAGGCAGCCAGACCTGCCAAGGATACTCCCTTTCCCCCAAGCACAATACCCTATGGAGAGAACATAGACATTTTGAACACGCTGCATGCTTGCCCTCTGTTCTTTAAGAGTGTCAGCTATCGCCAGATGTAAGAAAGGCACTCCATGTTGCCAAGATTTCTGCCCAAAATACATTCAATTTGTTTTGACAAAACTATAATTTGACTCTAAAGAGTACAACAAAAAGGTCTAATCTCCCCAATCAAGCACTTAACAATCCCATTTATCTCTCTTTAATATTAACTAAAGTCGTATCAGAAAAATCAGTGCTAGCCCAAAGTTCTAGTGGGTAACACAAAGAGAAAAAGTCATAATCCCACGGGAGACTGCCTTCTTAACCAAATATTAAAGCCCACTGCCTGGCAGTTTCACTAAGAAACGTGACCTTTCATTTCATTTCGGTTTTTGTTGATGAACAGATAATTGCTCAAAATCAACATTTTTGGACAAGTACCATGTCTCAGAAAATTGTCCTAAATTTCATTTTCATAGATTACTTTCTAGTTCCCTTTTCACTGTTTGATCGGATTCGACCCCAAACACTTTTTGTAATCCCCAAATACAACATTACCTTGCTGCTTTGAGTGTTTCTTCTGAAAGCCCTTCTTCTTTAACCAGCTCCTCAAAATTGACAATATCTTCGAGATCAGGAACAAACCTATAGTAAATCGTGTAGTATGTCACTAAAATTGGTAACATATTCAATTTACACAGACAGTGTGATTCAACTAAAAATTAAATAGTCACAGTGATTCATTTAAACTACAAAATCACCGGGCACTTGACTTACAGATGCCAGCACAGCTACATCAAGTGTAAAACTGGATCTGGGAGCTCGATAAACAAACTGATCCCAACGATCAAAAGATCGTTCGAGGGCGGCCTGCACCCTCTACTACATTGTGGAATTAGATTAGTAGCAATCGAGAGGAAAAGGAAAAGCTTTTTAACAGAGAAAGCCCCGACACCCCTGCTCTGAAGGATGCCTTCCATTGCCCACCAAAGCCTCTGACTCTCCTGTGGGAGGAGCTCCGGAAGGCATGGTCCAAATGGCACAAATGTTTACAAAGTGTAAACGTGCATCATGGAAGGAGATGGAGGCCATCTACCCATCTGCCCTACCTGATGGCGTTGCTGCTGCAGTGGAGCCCGCCCGACCGGATCATGCGCACGTAGCCCATCGCATTCCCTTTCAAATGACAAAGGAAGCCCGTCACATGGGGTGACAGCAGGGTCTCACCAAATCTAACAATGCTCACAAACAAGGTCTGCAGCCATTCAGTTACCATGTAATACAAAACGTAAGCACTTCCATCTTCCGAGAATTCCAATTAAATAAAATCTGCCAGGCTTTTGTCTGACTAACCAAAGGATAAAAATGCAGAGCACAAAGAACTCCCCAAATCACACGTAGGTGCGTGTGCGTGTGTGTGTGAGGGTATGGGTGTGTGAGTGTGAGACAGCAGGTGGTACACCCACGTACTTCAGTCACTTCCCTCTTCCTTCCTACCTTTGGAGGCAGAAGTGCTCCAAAGCTGGATGGAACAAAGAGTAGGGAGCTGACAGCCAGAGTCCTCGCTGCTGTCTCTGCTCCTCCCTCCCTGCAGGACCTCAGGGGGCCATTCAATCTCACGAGGTTTAAGACGCTAGAGGGTGAGATGACCTGTAAAGGCCCTTCTCGCTCTAAATGCCGCAAGCTCACATTCAGCAGCCCATCAAAGCCTATTCTACAGCTTTATCACCTAAAATTCACCATCAAAGACGCTGAGAATTCTGCATGCAAAGGATAAAATGTGAAGACTGCCACCTCATGGCATACAAAAGGTCTCCAAACACCACTGTTACCATATAACAACATCTTATTTAAATAGTATTACAAATGAAAAATTCACAAAGGCAAAAATCTGAAGTTCTGATATTCTGCTGTTTAAGTACCTTAAGAGCTGGTTAATAAGATAAAAATAAGTGTAATTATAGAAGTGAAGTTGGGCTACACTGACTATATTCCTGAATATACAATCTCTAAAGCACACAAATTTTCAAAATTCAGTTCACCTAAACTGGGAGCGAGTTTCCTCTGTGCCCAGCAGAGCAGGGTGGGGAGTGGAGGTAAAGAGAGAGAGAGAGAGAGAGAGAGAGAGAGAGAGAGAGAGAGAGAGAGAGAGAGAGAGAGAGAGAGAGTGTGTTTGTGTGTGTGTGTGTGTGTGTGTGTGTGTGTGTGTGTATGTGTAGGTCAAAGATCCAGTCACCTTCTCCAAAGAGCTTACAGCTACTTGTAAAGAGAAGCCTGGAATATAAAAAACTGAAGAACAGTATACAATAACATATAAGCAAGCGTGAGAGATGTAGTACAAAAAAGCTAACAATAAAAATTTAATACTTCATTTTTATTGCATCTACTGACATGTCTTAACTTTTAAAAACTTTATATTGATGTGTGTATATAGGTATATATGTATATATATAAGGCTATACAAGTCAGACCCAAAGTCTTTTGCAGTAAGACTTTTGGGACATGCTGTATCTCTTTTTTTCTCTTTTTTGTGGTCCGTACCCGTGATTTCACTAGTCCAGGCAAGCTCCCAGTGAAGCCATTCTTCCTGAGCAGGCAGCCCAGTAACTATCACTTATGGTCTCAGAGTAGGCTAAGGTATGGGGAAGTTAAGTGCCTTGCCCAATCACATGGCCAGTACATGTCACAAAGAGAAACCTAAACCCAGGTTGTCCTGACTCCTGGCCAGCCTTCTATCCACTGGACCAGGGGTTCTCAAATTTTTGGTCTCAGGACCCCTTTACACTCTCAAAATTTACTGAGAATTCCAAAGAGTTTCTGTTTCTATTAGTTGACTCTATCAAGATTGTATTAGAAAATATTAATTATATATCAAATATCAACTATCAATTTATTAGATTAGAAATTACAACTGAAAAATTTTCAAAATATTAAATTCATTTAAAATACCAATAATAAATCTATTATTACATGTTAACATAAATGACATATTTTTATGAAAAATAAGAATATTTTCCAAAATGAAAAAAATTTAGTTGGAAGAATAGAAAAGGTTTTATAATTTTTTTTTCAATCTCTCCAAGTCTGGCTTAAAAGAAGACAGCTGATTCTCACCTCTGTTTGTAGATTCAATCTGTTGCCATACATTGTTTTGGTTGAAGTGCCTACGGAGAAAATCCAGCCTCACACAAATACGTGATTGGGAAAGGAGGGAGTATTTTAATAGGCAAATAATGTCTTGATATTACTATGAAAAGTTTTGACTTTGAGGACCCCCTTGAAAAGGTAACAGAGACCAGAGAAAACACTTAGTGAACTGATGCACTAGACCACAGGGCCTCTCATGTAAGAGTGAGTGTGAGAGTGTGTGTGTGTGTGTGTGTGTGTGTGTGTGTATGTGTGTGTGTGTGTATGTCTGTCCATCCGTCTGTCTCTCTGAGAATGTATGTACTTGTATGTATATGTATCTACAATGTGTGTCTATATCTACATACGTATGTATATGTGCGTCTGTCTCTATAGCTATATACATGTATGTATATGCGTGTGTGCGTGTCTGTGTGTGTATAAATTTATAAGAACATCAGAGTGCCTGACCGGTCAGTGTTTTTGTAAATGCATGTACACCCATATATATCTACGTATATATACTTGCTTATATACACATAATTCATATTCCATTTAAGACTCATATTGGCCCATCAAATGACTGTCCAATCATGAAACCTTCCTAGCATGTTCTGAGGAAGAATAAGGAGTTCTCCCATGGACATCGTGAGCTATCCTCTCTTAAGATGGGTTACTTAAGGTGAGATTCCTGTAAGAATGATTAATTCCAATTTCACAATAGTTCTTCTTACCTATCTGGCTGATAAGCTGTCTGAATTGATCGAGGTAACTCTGGCCATCTGGTGTTATTCCAAGTTTTCTGATTCCTCTGTTGAATTTCTCTGCTCTTTCAAAAGGATACTAGAGAGAAAGAGTTTTAGGAGCACCTTCATAAGAAGCAGAAGTACATTTCCCTAATGCAGATATTGCTACAAGTTTTTCATATTAATTTGTTTACAAAATTTATCCAATCCAGTAAGCAATCAATCCTTATTAAGCACCTGCTACGTGCCAGGCACTGAGTCAAGCACTAGGGATCCCACAAGAGGCAAAGGACAATGCCTGACCTCAAGGAACTTACAGTCAATAAGAAAACATTTATTAAGCATCTATGTTCCTGGCCCTGTGCCAGGCACCAAGGCCACAAACATACAATGACGAGGAGCTCAGGACAGGCTTTTTTGAAAGAGACGGTACTTGAGAAATAAGGGCATTCCAAGAGGGATGGAGGACAGACTAGAAGTCACAAAGGCAGGAAACAGAAAGTGATGGCCCAGAGGACTAAGTCAGCCAGTTTGGCTGGAAGACCAAATGTGTGATGGCGAGCAGCACATCAACGGCCTGGAAGGACAGGCTGCAGCCAGAGAAAGGCTTTAAATACTTCAATCCTGGGGCAGCTAGGTGGCACAGTGGATAGAGCATCAGTCCTGGAGTCAAGAGGACCCGAGTTCAAATTTAGCCTCAGACACGTACTAGCTGTGTGACCCTGGGCAAGTCACTTAACCCTAATTGCCTCCAAAAAAAATAAATACTTCAATATTTTGTGCTTTTATAATAAACAGTTGAAATTTTTTTAAAGGAGAAATGACAAAAGCCTGGCGTTAACTACTTTTCTTTTCCCTGATAAGAGTCACAGAAGGAATACTCCCCTTGATTGTGGGCTCCTCATCACCATGACTACCTCCAAACATCTGAAGAGCCCGCCCAGAGGCTCAGAAACAAAACCAAGCCCCCTCTCTGGGGACACCTGCTTCCTCATCCTAAAACGATGGGCAGGACAGAATCGCTCCTGGAGGGCGGAGGCTCCCCAAGGGCATCCATTCCCAGGGGGGTGTTACATACTGCCGCCAAGCAGGCACTGGGCTTTTTCGATATGCCAAGTGAAGGAGATGGGCGAGAAATTCCTTTTGGAGTAACAGTGAATTCTCTTTCCTTCCAGAAGAGAACATCATCACAAAAGCTTCGATGACCTGCCTTCAGGTGTGGTGTCCCTCTTGAAAGTAAACCTGGCATACCTGGTGTAATTTCATATTTGATATAATGAGATCTTTTAACACATATTTCATCTCTGTTTTGGTTTGCTGCAATAATCACCAAAAAGGATGCAGAGCATCACTAGAATATGGCATTTCCAACGGACCTTTACAAACTGCCTACTGTGCCTAAGAGAGCAGCACTTTTAAGTCGATCTATGTTTGGTCCAGGCCTGGGACATCATGAGGGTAGGGAACTCAGTATGGAAACTCCCCCCCCCCACCCCACAATGCAGATCAACACCTCATCGGTGAGAGTCACTGTAATGAGTAGGTAAGTAATCTGGTTAAGGTCACACAGCCAGGATGTGTCAGAAGCCAAGATAATCACCCATATCCTTCCCAAGTACAAGGCTGAGCTCGCACCCATTATGCCAGGCTGCTTCTGAAACTCAATCACACCATCTCAAACATAGTAAATATATGCAACATACCTTATGATCGTTTTGGTCCTTGACTTCCCTGAAAAACCGGATATCTTTAATCAATCTGGATTTGATGTGTTCATCATACATGAACTGGCTAAAAATGTAGAACTTCTTTCTCAAAAATTGGTAGGTGAAATTCACCTGTTAAAAAGTTAAAATCAGAAAGCAGGATGTAGTATAAAAGTAACTTGCAAGTTTTTGAACTAACGCCAATAGTCATAATTACGAAAAGTTCATGGGGGGGGGGACTAGCGAAAATGATGAGAACGAAGAGAAGGAAAAGAAGGTCACTGGAGCATTTTTTAAATGCACAGAATAAAAAAGGGTTCAGAAGCAGACAAACATGAGAGCTCTGAAACTACAATGCTGAATTTATCACAATTCTTTTTTAAAACGTAATACAGTGTGGTTTCATGTACAGTCTTCTCTTTCTGTTCTTCTCCATGTGTGGAAGTTCTCAAGTACGCTGGTGTTTGTGAAGTGCAGAATAACAACAACAACAACAAAGATTAAAAGATGATTCATTTGGTTTTAGATATGCTGAGTTTCAAGTAACTGAGGCCAGAAGAGAAAATCAAGGCTGAAAAACAATGCAGATAAAATCTGTAGGTGAAAAATAAAGGCCCCATTAAACCAAAACATTTATAGTAGCCCTTTCTATAGTAGTAAAGAAATGTTGGGGAATGTGGTACATGAATGGTTTTGGTTTTTTGTTTTTGCTAGGCAATGGGGTTAAGTGACTTGCCCAGGGTCACACATCTAGTGTTATGTGTCTGAGGCCGGATTTGAACTCAGGTCCTCCTGAATCCAGGGCCGGGGCTCTATCCACTGCGCCACCTTGCTGCCCCCTGTAGTATATGAACGTAATGGAATACTACTGTGCTACAAGAAATGATGAGCAGGCAGACTTCAGAAAAACCTGGGAAGACTCGCATGAACTGATGCTGAGTGAAAAGAGCAGAACCAGGACGACAGCGTACACAGTGAACAGCCACACTGTGCGATGACTAACGTTGACAGAGCTGGCTCTTCTCAGCAATGCAAAGATCTAAGACGTCTCCATAAGACTCGTGATGAAAAATGCCATCCACATCCAGAGTCTGCATGCAGGTCGAAGCATGCTCTGTGCTCTCGTTTTCCTTTGTTGTTTTGTTTCTCCTTCTCATGGTTCTTCCCATTCATTCTAATTCTTCTTTACATCATGACTAATGTGAAAATATGCTTAATATGAATGTATAAGTAGAGCCTATATCAGATTCTTTTTATTTATTTATTTATTTTTTGGCGAGGGCAATTGGGGTTAAGTGACTTGCCTAGGGTTACACAGCTAGTGAGTGTTGTTTCTGAGGCTGGATTTGAACTCAGGTCCTGTTGATTCTAGGGACAGTGCCCTATCCACTGCACCACCTAGCTGCCCCCCCACATCAGACTGCATGCCATCTTGGGGAAGGGGAGAAAATTTAAAACTCAAAATCTTATGGAAGTGAATACTGAAAACTAAAATCAATAATTAAAAAAAAGAAGCGGAAATTGGTGCCCATTGATCGGGGAGCGACAAATTGTGGTGTATGAAGAGCACGATGACTAGAGAGAAGCACAGAAAGACTGATGTGAACTGATGCCAAGCAAAGTGAGCAGGACCGGGAGAGCTCTACACACACACACACACACACACACACACACCAATGTAAAGGGAAAAAACAGCCAAAAAAAACCCCAACCCTGAATTCTGTGAAATTATAATCCACAAATTATGGGTCTGGTTTGTTTTGTTTTTCCATTAAGGGTGAAGGAGGTAGGAAGGAGAAAATATAAATGTTTGTTAATTTTAAAGTTTTTTTCTTTTTCTTTTTTTTTTGGTGAGGCAACTAAGGTTAAGTGATTTGCCCAAGTCACACAGCTAGTAAGTGTTATGTGTTTGAGGCTGGATTTGAACTCGGGTCCTCCTGACTCCAGAGCTGGTGCTTTATCCATTGTGCCACATAGCTGCCCCAATTTTAAAGTTTTTTTAAAGAAATTACAATAAAAAAGCTTGGCCCCAAAGAAAAAATATGTGAAGACATTTCCCCTCACTTTCTTTGCAGAAGTGAGAGGCTGTGGGTGGATAACACGAAATAGAGCACTAGGCATTTTCAGTATATTGATAATTTTCCTTTGACTTTCTTTACTCTCATTTACTCTCTTAGGTTGGCTCTCTGGGAGGGGAGAGGTAGAAGCACACACTGGAAATTATAAGTGATGTAAAAGCAAAAAATGCCCCAAAATGCATAGGTAGATATTAATTGAAGATAAGGAAGTAAATGAAATTCCTGAAGGAGAAAAGACCATGGTAGTTACTATTATCAAATACTGTTTGGCCTACAGAAAATAACCTGTCGATCTTTATGATTGATTTTTAACCCTTGCAGTTAATGGCTTGTACAAAGTTTGGAGATTTCAGATGCTGAAACTCTCCCCCCAGCCCACACTCCCTCCTTCACTCACATCTCACCAAGAGTCTTCCCTCTAAGCAATCATAAGATTGCAGGGATAGAAAAGGCGAATTAAGAGTGTGTGATGGGATGAATAACTTTCACTGTGAGGTTGACTTTTAAATTCTTCAAAAAAGTTTTAATTTTAAAAAAGACTTTTCATTATATTATGTGCTCACCTAGACATTTTAATAAGGAGAGATGGAAAGCTCTCAAAACATCTCAATTATACAACAGCTGATATATCTACTAATAACTACATCAAGCATTCTCAATATCTAGTGAAAATTTCCAATGAAGTGCAGGAAAGAGCAGTCACATTTTGAGAAAGGTCTAAATTAAAGAATGTTTTGGCATCATATTAACTTTCAAGGGCACAGAGATCATCTAAGTGATAAATGCCAGTACAAGTTGTAAGAGGCCTGTTTTAAAGAATTACGTAAAGATAAGTTGCAATAAGCTTACTAACTAAATGTATGCATTTAAAGTGCTTGAAGATGCTTGAAAACCATCAGCTTCCTTAGACACTGTGCTATCTCCCAAGCATCCTGTTAACATTGTGCAAAAAGAAAGCATTTTCCAAACAAATGGGGACTTCCCGAGACCAGTAAAATGACAGTCCCGGGGGAAAAGCGTCAAAGGCACCTACGGTGGTGTTCAGGATTCCCGTCCCGTGCGTGCGGATCGAGTTCGCGATGTGGCGGATGTTAATCGTATTCAAATGCTTGTTGTTGCTCGTCCTTTCGATGAATATCTACAAGCAAACAGATTTACGTTCAGCCAGCCAATCAAAGCCCGCTGAACCAAAAAGTGACACCCTCCCCCCTCCACAAGTGACCCGGGACTGAAAGCTGTCCGAAGAAAACAAGCATCCATTAAGCACCCACTGTGTGCCTGGCACTGCACTTCCTTAGCCCTGGCACAAAGCAGTCTTTCCCAAAACAGAGGAAGAGATTCGATAACAACTCCCCCATCTCTGGGCATCTGTGAAACATCACTCTTCCCCCTCGATCCTGATCCTAGCCACTGCTTACCTGATTATTGAGGTTGTAGAGGTACCGGGACACAAAGACGTGAATGTTTCTCATGATTTCCAAAACATCCAGACCCTGAAATTCAATCCATTTAGAAACTGTATTATCGGTGGCGTGAGATCACAAATATTACAGACAGTCTATCCATCACAGGCCCTCAACCATGCGGAGGACTCGGGCCTCCATCAAGAGCCGCTGCAGTGATTTTCTGGCTATGTAGCGTTAGCCAACCACTTAAAATCTTAAAAAAAGAAACAGTAAAGCGATCTCTCCACGAGACAAGCCCAAAGCATACAAAATGTCCTTTGGACGAGGACCACTAGCAATCAGCTCCACAGTGTGACTGGAGGAATGTGTGACAATCTCTGCACAGGTACACGTTCCTAAAAGAAGCACAGATTCTCGACTCACCTTCCACATTCTTCTTCTCAGGGGCCTTAGGGAGGTCTGAGAAAGAGCAGAAGAGTGCCCCCGCTCCCATTAAAAGTCTTTGTGCTCCCTCAAATACCACAGACAACTGGTCAGATCACCAAAGCTTCCTCAAGTGTTGTCTGGGTACTAACCTTAGCTGTCACTCCCCCACCTCCTTCTGTCCCAGGGGCTTCGCCTCTGCTCACAACAGCACTACTCCCCTGGGCAGAAAGCCTACAGCACCTGATACGGCCAAAAGAGGGCAACACAAAAGATGCAACAAAAATGAGGCTCCTCTGAGTTGGTAAAATGTAAGTGGAAAGCTCTCTGGGAGGACTCTCCCCTCACCTCAGCAAGAACTAAATAAAGGACGCCGATGAAGGACGCCCACTTTCTAAGCCGGCCTGGCTAGTTTGTAAATCTGGGGGGAGCTGGCCACTCCTGGCCCAAGAATGACCAACCCAATACGTGTGACCAAATACCACCATCTGTACAATATCACAACGAGCTCTACTCTGATCCTGGGAAATAGCGCCATACTCTCTGGGCTCCCAATGCTCCTTCCCTTTATGCTACAAATGTGTTTCTCCAAATGGGTGCATGGTCAAATCTTTTTTTTTTTTGGAGGCAATTGGGGTTAAGTGACTTGCCCAGGGCCAGAGAGCTAATAAGTGTCTGAGGCCAAATTTGAACTCAGGTCATCCTGACCCCAGGGCCAATGTTAAAGCATTTTTAAAAGATTGTAGGGGAGGCTGGCATAAAGGGAATCTACCGTGAATCTCTAATTCTTCTTACATAAGTTTGGATTTCTACCTATTGTTTTCTTTTTTTTTGGCCATGCCATGGGGTTAAGTGACTTGCCCAGGGTCACAGAGCTATTAAGTGTTATATGTCTGAGGCTAGATTTGAACTCAGGTCCTCCTGACTCCAGGGCCGGTGCTGTATCCACTGGGCCACCTAGCTGCCCCCTACCTACTGTCTTCTTAACGCCAGGCATGATGGTATTTACAATGCAAATGAACACACATAAATGGAAGCATAAAGGAAGGGTGTTAAAGAAACATTTTCAGTACACTTTACACATACTCTACCTGCTCCAAAGTCTGACTGGGAAGATGGGCCTCCGTCATGACCAAGCCATAACGCTGAGTTGCTAAATTTCTCATTTCGCTGTAAGTGGCCCAGTCGTGAAGAGCAACCGTTGTTAGATTGTAGAAAGTCTTGTCCAAATAATGTGTTACAAAAGCTATATCAAAAACAAATACAAAACCAACACCAGAGTCCACTTGGCATCTAATGAATCCTGACAGCTTTGAGGAGGGAGGAAGCCAGAAAGAAGGGAAAACCTCATCATGCCTCTGAAAGTGAGCTCTGGTCCTTTCTAATAAGATACTAAGAGTTAGAAAAGCCCGAAGAAAGAAATAAAAAGGAAGCCACTCCCGGGTAGATGGATCAGTGTGGAGATACAGGTCTCCACTGGGCTCTTTGTAGCTAAGCACAAAAAAGCCCTCCGTGGCCCAATGGACACAGGGAGGGAACGCAGAGCACGCACCTCTGATGTCAATGTAGCGATTGAAGAAACGAATGGGGTTCAGAGAGAAGAAAAGGGCCAGGTCCTTCATGCCGACTCTGAACGGGTTTCGGTCATCCAGCTTGAGGTGGGTGTGCACAGACAGACGCAGGTCCTTCTCAATCTCCCGGCACAACTTCTCCAGCAGATGCTGTTCAGACAAATGTTAGCACGCACTGCTGTAATCACACAGTAACATTAACACTGGATTCCTCTGCAAATATTCAACCTTGCTTGGAAGTCATGATATAGACATGTTCAGATTAGCCAGGAAACAAAGGGCAGAGAGAACAGAGTCACAATACCATGGAACAAAGTATTTTACTGGGAAGTGAGAATAACTTTGCTCCAATCCTTCAACTAAGAGTTTTACCCAGAAAGTACCAAGGTCAGCTCCACAATACTGTTTTCTACCATTACTATTTGTATCACTACCCTTATAAATTAATATAAGTGTATGCGATAAAGATGTCACACAGTATTAAATGCTTTTTAAGCACACAAAAGCAGGGAACTTCAACTCCTCTGCCCTTAGCCCCAGACTGCAAAAAATCTTCAGGGGAAGTTAATCTGAGCATTTTGAGTCATATTAAAGAGACATTAACAATCAAATTTTTGCTGCTGCACACAGTCTTTCTCCAATCAGAATGGTGAGTCCAATAAGATATTAAATAAACTACATTCAAAATATATTACTATAACTAAGGATTTTATCCCACAATCTATTTTGCCCCCAAAATTTCAAACCGAAACTCAAAATCCAAATACATTCACAATCACTAAAGAAATGTATGCTTGATTAAATCTTCCACCAGGTTTGCAGTCTACTATGAGAATTGCAGAGCTACAAAAAGACTAATTGAAAACATTTTTGCTGCTTTTTCAAACTTTCATTTGGTAATTTTATACTACTGAAAGCTTGCTCTGATTCAAAAATGTATCCAAACACTGTATTCCAAAGCCATATTTTGTTTTTCAGACGATATGCAGTTACCTCATTTAAAATTTCCATAATCTCCTTGTCATAGCAATTCAGAAGGATTTCATAAGACTCTAAATGTCTTGCACACATCATAGCAGGTACGCAGTCCCGCAAAGCACTGAACATGTACTAAGAAGAAAGAGAAGTTACTACACAAATAAGAAACAAAACACCTTAAGTCTATCGCATCACAGGAAATGATGCCTATCTTATTTTGGAAGACATCACCTTAGTCCAAAGAATGACTTTTTCTCCCAAATTTCCTTCCTGAAGACTCCCCAGCTATCCAAATATTTCATATGTCCAGAAAGTTGCCATCCCAGATTCTTTTTCCCAATATTCATTTCAAACAAGTTGACTTCCAGTACTAAACACAGCGGATCTAGATACTGTATTTCATGAGTAAATGATTTTTAAATGACTACTGTACCAACAAAGAAATTAAATTAACTGAAATTAGAATGATTAAAGGGAAAAGGAAAGAGGGAATTATTGTTTCCCCTCACTCAACAGGTGACTTTTATTTACTTATGATACTGCCTTTAGGTTTATTTACACCATAACTTTCTAATGCCCTCTTCTCCACAAGATCTTCCCTTGGAACAAAGGAAAACCAACTAAGACAACATCTGAGCAACTGACTTCCAGAGAGCAAAATTCACGGGGAAAGTGTCAGAAAGCAGTGAAGATACCTAAATCTGCTCAGTATCATTAAAGATTAATACAACCACAGGAAAACATAATTAAACTTGAGGAACAGACAAAACCCATGAGCATTAGGATCTGTCTGTTATTCTTTCAGGCCCTGACTGCAAAGAGGACTCTTGGTTTGGAAGTCTGAGCATACCTGCCATTATTATGATAATGAGGACAGCTGAATGTGGGGCCCACTCTAAGATCTACTACAAAGAGCTTTCCATACATGATCTCATCTGATACAACAGCCTGGTGAGATAGGTAGTACAGGTGTTATTCTGGATGAGAAAACTAAAACACAGAGAAGTAGTGACTTCCCTCAGGCAGACAGCTATCATAAGCCTGACTCCAACCCAGAAGCCCCATCCTTTCCACTGTACACACACTGCACCATCTCATCAGCTGAACTCTCCTGTACATGTTGCTTCTCTAAATCAGAACACAAGAGCTTTAAAAGCAGGAACTATCTCGCTTTCTCTTTGCATCCCCAGGGCTCAACACAGTGCTTGGCACACAGTAGGTGCTTAACAAATGCTTTTCTATTCTACTGCATTGTCTCCCACTAGACTGAGCCCTCCCTCGTGACAATGCAAAACTACTACAGTTTGACATCTCTTGGTTACTTTTTCAGTGACAGTGGCTTGTTACACTAAATCAGTGACTGTTCTACTGAGGCTTTCTTTGATTCTTTACTTACATGTAATCTAGCTGCATCAACAGCATTTTCATACACATCGTCTAAATAAATTGGAAAGACAGCTCGATGCCAGTAAAGGAAACAGCAGTCGCACTGCGTTCGAACTCTACAACGCAAAGCATTAATGAGTGGTCAAAGAAACCAAAGCGACTCAAGACACAACAATGAAAGGCATGAGGTTCTGGGCTGGGAAAGAACCCAATCCCACATTCCTGCAACACCCTGTAAAATGCTCATGAGCCAATAAGCCTTTGTTTTATGAGACATCTGGCAATGGATTCATGAGCCTTTCAAACGACAAGGGTAGCGAGAAATGTCTTTTTAATGTTTAACTAAAGGGCCGATTAGTAATTTATGAGGGATGCTTTATTCTCAGTTGTGATGTCCACCTCTAAGTCAGAATGCTAAACCTTCTGAAAAATGGGATAAGAGATCACAGTCACCTATTTCTAATACCTGCCAGAATGCCTTTGTCATCTAATACAGCAACGAATGACCGAGCCTCCTATAGTACAGGGATACACAAATTCATCACCTCTCCTTGTGACGGGAGGTAAATGGCATCAATTACAAAAGGAATAAAGCTACTTCCCGACTTTGCTCCCTCGGTTACACAAAACGTTCATGTTTGTTACCTTCACACAGATAGGAGGTGAATATCAAGGGCAAATCTGTTATGAACCTAATTCATCAGGGATCAAGAAAGCTCTTAAAAAACCAGGTAAAGTTCTACAGGGTAAGGTATTTTATATGGCAACATTTATGAGAAAACACTAGGATTCACACTGCTAACCACATCCAAGGTGACATTTTTTTTTTATTAGTTGCAAAGAGCCTTATCTTTAAATATGGGGAAAACTGGCTAAAAGAATCCATGGTCCCTATGTCCCATCACAAGGAAGGAGAGAAGTGCTAATGAGATATACATACTCTCTACTTTTGCCAAGTTCTGAGTTATGAAAGTCATGAAAAGGCCTTCTTTTATTTACTAGATAAATTTGATTCATTTTCCATTCCCAGCATATTGGCTGCTCACCTTTCTCTAAGTTCACTAATGAGATCCAGTTTTTTCATCACTACTTGGAGAGGGAGGAGCTCTTCGTCCTTAAATGTTTTCTATTGGAGAAAAGAAAAAGAAGGGGCCAAACATTGGCTCTCATCACCATCGTCTTCCAGGTCGGCTTGGAATGCAGAGCTGCACCCTAATCAGAAGCAGACTGAGGAGAGAACATACCATCTGGGTGCCCACACTCAGAGCCAAGGAAAGGATGAGGCGCCTCTGACGGGTGCTTGGCCCATTCAGAGTATTCTCAGCCAACACGAGGGCAGAGAGGACATCAAGGCGCTGCTCACTATACTTTTTGTCCGAAATTACTCTTTTCTTGAGGAGAAAAGAAGGAAAAAAAGGAAAGAAAAGTCTGATTTCTGATGCAACAACCAAGGGACAGAGGCCACACACTAGGTGACCATTTCTAAACCCCAAAGTATGTAAGATTCAGAATTGGTCTTCCATGTTTGACTTTCCTTTCTTCTTTTTTAATAAATACTTGCTGAATGAAAAATAATTTTACTGACTTTAGAACTGCATTTATTTATGGGTGGAGTCTACTGGACTAGGAAAGTATCCCTCCAAGGGCCTCACCCCAAGCCTCATTCTCCCATATCCCACCAAATTCTCCCCTTCCCCAGAGTACACCCTCAGGCCTCGTCACTCCGCCACCTCACAACTGAACTCTCCTGTACATGCCACTTCCCTAAATCAGAACGCAAGCACTTCAAAAGCAGGAACTAGCTCCCTTTTTCTTTGAACCCCCAGGGCTCAAAACAGTGTTTGGCACACCGCAGGTACTTAACAAATGCTGTTCTATTCCACTGCATTGTCTCCCACTAGACTGAGCCCTCCCTCGTGACAACACAAAACCATTACAGTCTGACATTCCTTAAACATGGCTGGGTGCTCCCTGCACTAATCCTGGGCATATTATTGTCTTACTAGGCCCTGTGATGAACAGACAATACATCAAGCATACTCTTACACAAACATGGCTCTAAAGGCCAAAACTGCCTTGTAATGCAATTGTACTTTTTAACTAATTATTAATACCCTGTTATATCATGTTCTATTTGCAAGAAAAGGCTGAACCTAACATTTCAAATTAAGCCCCGATCAAAGCAGTGTTACCTTACATTCTGTGCTGGGGAGGAGTTAGCTCAGACATGTAAGAGAAAAGCTAAAGGACAAAGACCTATTACAAGCCAATAAAGACAACAGATCTGATGAAGATGACATATAACATACCTTGGCCACGGAAATAGAATTAAGAGCTTGATGCTGAAGGTGCTGGGTTATGTGCGAAACAGAATCAGCCACAACCATACTTCTTCGGTAAAACGTATGCTCTATTGCCTTTAAGAAACAAAAGAAAAAAAATCCTCTCCAGTGATTGCATTATTAAACTTTAAAAGCAATTTTTCTCCACTAATTCACTCATTCATTTCAATGTTTTCATACTTTGATACATCAAAAGATATTTATTTTGAAATTCTTAAATACTGAAATAAATCTCTTTTTTGGTCTCATATGTAGCCAAATACATAGACAAATGCCATGTAGAAACTTGTCTAGGATAGACGATTGCCATTAAGTATTTACATGAAATCCATTTCAGTTTAAGTTTAAAGGAAGGGTACTAATCTACTCACTATTAAAGACTAGGAGAAAAAAGTAATAATTATGAGGTTTAGTCAAAAAATTTTATCCTAAATATAATATTGTGAAGCTAAGTTCATCTTCCTACATGAGAAAAGCATTTACATGTTTTCAGAAGGCCAGGCAACATTAATAAAGGGTGCCTTCTACTAACAACAAAAAAGGCCTTACAAAACTGTAATCACAAAACTGCAGAAACACAAGAGTCTATTAATTTTCTTTCTCTCATTATAAGCCAGTCCTAAAGGACAGCTCTCCACTGGCAATGAAGCTCAATGAAGAGGGCCCAAGGGCAGGCCTGTCAGGCAAGAACTCCCCAACACATAGCCTCGAAGCACGCGTTCTTCACGTTTGCTGAAACACAGCTCCGACAGCCAAGGCTGGGCAGAGGAGGCCTCACAGCCCAATCGCCCTTCCATTCACCTGTCAGAGAAGATAAGGAGCTCGTCCCCTGCTGATGTGACAGCCACCCAAGGCCTCCTGCTCAGACCCAAGGTCATGACCCCAGGCGTCACCATCTCATGGCAGTGTGCCTCAATTCTAGGCAGAGCAAATAAAACTCAAACTACCTGCAAGTACCTTGCAAAGCCAAACTTAAAAGATGATAGCAAACGTGAGAAGGATATTTTAGGAAGCAAAAAATATCTTAAATTTCCAAGAAGAAGGAAACGTCCTCAAACAAAAAGGCTACTTAGTTGTCTCACTCTGAGTACAGTCACGTACGAGGGCAGTAACTTAACATCAGAGTCATTAGCGCTGACATAATGGCTTCAGGTGGGCTCTGGTTGTTTATGTGTGGGTTCCCACGCCCACATGCCAGCCCTGGTCCCTGTCAGGCCTTGCTCTAACAAGCAGCACAAAGGCTCGAGGAGTTAAAAGCTTTGAGATCCCCCCAGCTATCTGTCACTTCTGACAGAATGCAGTTACATCATCCTGAAACTTACCTTGAGGAGCTCAATAAGTCTGCATAAGGCTTTGACTGAAGTTTTGGTCATGGGCTTCTGCATGGACATGTGGAGATTCATTGTAGTCTTAATAATGGTGCTAATGCTGTATGCATATAAAAAACCCTGCAACCAACAGAATACTACTTTAATGCAACACAGTAGAGAGTGGGTTAGCTCACAAGAGTGACTTTCCAAAAGTTTAATTCAAAGTAGGTTGTTACAGTGTGGTACAGTAGGAAGTATTTGTCAGAGGACCTGAGTTCAAATCCCGGTTTCCCTGCTTGTGACCCATGTGACCTCGGGCAAGTCACCTAATCTCTCTTTTCCTGAATTTCTTCATCTATAAAGTGAGCAGGTTGGATTTCTGGCCTCTAAGGCCCCTTCCAGCTCCAGCTCTGTGATTCTCTGAGCCAATATACTTGGAAAGCACTTCCCATAGAAATAAAACCTAAACAAACACTTCTAGTCCCACACTCAGCACCACTAGGGCCTTGTCTTCTCCTCTCAGCCCTCCTAGACAGCAGACAGCAGGAGCAGGGACCCCCCCCCCCCAGTCCCTCCATGCTACCAGTGGCTCTAAGGCCTAGAAATGGGACATTAACGAAGGGGCAGAAGGCTGGCTGTACAGCATTCAGCCTGATGAGGCCTCCTACAGCAGACCCCGGGGGAGGTAGTTCTGCCTCTTTCTTTCCTTCTAGGCCTCTTAAGGACAAATCTGCTTGCTCACCAATACTAATGCTTCCAGACTTTCCTCCTCTTCCTGGCCCACTGAGGCACATAAGGTATCTCACAGCTCCCATCTTTCCAGACTGCCTCTCTCTGAAGCAAGTACTCAAGACTTCTGAAATTGGCTAAGTACCTTTACAACTAGTAACTCAAAACAAGAAAGCTAACAGAGTATGGTGCAGATAGACCATGTGCAATACGTGTTTGCTGAGCTGAATACGCCTCCAGTTGTTTTTCCCCTTAGACAACTCTGGGGAATAAAAGTCCTCACATCAAGACCATGGTGCATCATGGTCACATGAAGCCCTAAAACAGGATGTATGCCCAACCCCAAGACATTTTGTTGTGAGAGCCAGAATAAGAATGAACAGCTCCAGGGTAAGGGACACTCTGTGGGATACAGAGACAGAAAGAGGAACGAGTCTAAAGATGCTGCTGATAAGGGAAGAGAAAGCAGCAAAGTTCACAGCAGTTCACAATTCCCTCCTCTCATCCCTCCAGTTCCCACTGATGACCACACTACATGTTACTATTCTTTTCAAGTTAAGATCCAAACTCGTATTAATCCAATTTCCAAAACTTTTAGACAAATAACTAACAAAGTATTTCACAGAGGGCAAAATGTATGCTACCTGTATAAAAACATTGCATCTATTGGTGAGGTCTTCAGCAAACTTATCCATTCGCTGTTCTTTAGATGAAATGGATTCCATTTTCATCATCCATGAGCTAACAAAGACGTAGTAAGACTGCACATCTCTGACAAAGAAAAACATTGTGTTTTCAGAAGTGATCTTTCCTCAGAACAGCCCAGAAGACGCATATACTATCCATCTTATTTCAGCCTTACAGATTAAACAACATTAGTATTCCAAGATTAAGATTCATTTTCTAATAACAAAAGACCATTCAGCAGTAGGAATATAAGCATAAAGAGATCAGTTATCATACGTGAAGTCAGCACAAACTACTTCCACTTTTTAATGGATAAAAAGAAGTCTATTCAAAGTAATTCACTTTTTATAGGGTAAAGGAAGTAGTTAACATTTAAAGCTACCAAGGAATAAACCAACAGATGTAAAATGTCAAGTAGGCCAATTTGGGGGGGTGAGGAGGAGCAGCTGGTTGGCAGAGTAGACAAAGCACTGGGCCTGTAGTCAGGAAGGCCCGAGTTAAAATCAGACACTTACTAGCTGTATGATTCTGGACAAGTCACTTAACCTGTTTGCCTCAGTTTTGCCAACTGTAAAATGGGGTACCTCCCAGAGTTGTTGTGAGGATCAGATGAAACAATATTTGTAAAGAGCTTAGCACAGTGCCTGGCACATAGTAGGCATTATATAAATGCTGATTTCTCTCAGTCAAAATACTACTAAATTCAACTAACACCAAAAAATCCACACAATCTTTATAATCTAAACAGACAGTCAGGCAGTCATAAAGTTTTAAAAATTCTATTCATGTTATTTTGACAAATCCTATCACTAATGCCACTCTCTGATGAAGAATAAATTAAAACCTGAGGCTGTCTTCCCTTTCCCACATGATTTAAGAAGAGTCGATATCACATCTAGAAATGGACGACGTTTTCCTGTTTAAGCTCAGCTCTTCAGGTAACGTACTTGGTAAGTGACTGGGCCTTTTGCTGCAGAAAAGCGTCCCTGTGCGTTTTAATGGCGTGAAGGCTTTTTTTGTCAAGGAGTTTGGCAGCTGCTGGCATCTTCTGGATCAAAAAGTTATCCGCGAACCAAATCATGTTAGCAGTTAAAGTGATGGCCGGTACCTGAAATGTTGAGAGTGAAAGGGAAAATGAACACGCACACTAGGCAGCAAAGCTCATAGGATCAGAACCAATACCAGGGGCGAGGAATCAGTTTCCCATAAAAATTCATGCCCAGAGCAGGCAGCATGTAACAAATATGCCTCCCTGTCACATCACTGGCAGCTTCGTTCTTGGGGTCAAGTATCGTAGTAACTGTAATCCAAGTCTGAATATTCTCTGGTTATAAAATCCCATCTAAATTGCAAGAAAGATAATAAAACCCTTGCTCCTTCAAGACATACAAAATAGAAAGAATTCCCTGGGTACTGGCCAGCTTGAATTCCCCTCTGCACTAATGCAAGAAATAACTGTTGAGAGATGTGTAAGTTCTCATGGCCAGACAGATCTTAGTCCTGCAGTAAGGTCCATCTGAAATAAGTTCCAAAATCTCTATGTTTTTAATTATACACCAAATCTCAGAAAGAAAAAGAAAGCAGATGATTTTTAACCTAATTGTGTCTGTTTCACCTGAAAACAAAAAAGAGCACAAAATGCTTACCTTCTTACAAACGTCCAGTAAAGATTTATAAAATTTTTTATCTACAGTCCGAAAAATCTGGAAGTGCAACACAAAAAGTCCACAGACTCCAACGTACTTGTCTCTCTGGTCAATTTCAGAGGGTTCACCTTGAAAATAAACAGTGACCGACTTCAGGACAAGGAGGGAGGGAAGATTCCTCTTTAAATCTACTCTCCAGGAAGTACACAGAAGATCTGTGATTTCATCAGGGAGGGCAACTCCATATCAACCTGACCTAAGGCTCAGTCTAGTTCTTTCTTTCTTTCCTTTGTTCACACTGGGTCTCCCTATGTCATTCAAGCTGGACGTGTAGCAGCCGAACACTGCTGCTGACCAGAACAGAAACTCTGACCTGCTCCATCCTCAACCCCGAATGAACCAGCCCTCCTTGGGAACAGCGGCTCTCCCAGCCCCCGCTCCCAGGGGCTCACCGCAGCAGTGCAGGATTTAGGGCATTTAATAAGATTTAACCGACACTCCTGAAGCTCAGGACGTCCCAAGCTCAGGAGACGCACTAGACCCGGCTTCCCCAGCTGGAGGTTCAACATGGATGCCAGTAAAGAAGTTCCAAGGAGCTGCTTGAAACACATAGTACTGAAGGGACTTGCCAAGGGTCACACAGCTAGGGAGTACTGGAAGCAAGATTTGAACTCAGGTCTTCCTGACTTCAAGCCCAATACTCTATTCTGCCTCTTTGTAGAAAAGGCCAATCTGATAAGCGATAAAATCAATGGGACTTTGCATTACCGAGTTTGGCTTCTACGTTTGCAAAAATCGTGCGTATACTATGCGCAAATTCTTCAGCAAAAGTGCTATTCTTTGACACAGATACTCCTCCGTTAACGGAATCAAACTGTTGCTCTATGCAGGCCTAGAAAGGAAACATTCACAACAGAATAAGACCCACTGATTAGGAGATCACAATACAAAGGCAACAGAATCTAGTGTAAAATCGCATTCTAACTTCACCATTTAAATGTCCTACAAATTCAAGTGTAATACAACGAAGCATCCTGAAAAGTCAAGCGTGTTCACACAGTACACTATGTTGCATGACACATCGTTCATACACTACACTACACAGAACCACACTATATAGAACGACACCTCAAACCAGGGGCGGATGACCCACCACCTCAAGGACCTGCCTCAAACGGTATCACGTGAGTGCAGTGAAACTAAAGTTAATCCTCTGTCCATGCTCAAAGTAAGGCCCAGCCAGGAAGCCCAAGAGAAGAAGTCCTCCTCTGGAGGTCATAGCTCGCGGGCCGACAGACACCACCTGGAAGGTCAATGCCAGCACAGCACCAGCTCGGGTGGATTCTGCCCAGTGGGAAAGGCTTCCAGGATGAGGGGGCCAAGGACCGGCCTTGCTGAGCACTTCAAACGCTAAGCACCAGAAGGCTTCCGACCAGGGGATGAATTTTTTTTTTGGAGGGGCACACTATGACATTTATTAAAGCAACAGAAAACAGCGTCCATATTATTCTTGGTTTTTTTTAAAGTAAATTTTATTTTGTTTTTTAGTCTTAAAGTTGTTTTCCCAGCCCACTTAGCTACAGCGTAAAAGAAACGTCCAACAACTAAGAGTGATCACATCTAATTTAACTGGTAAATAATGTTGTTTTTTAAGAGGCATCATAGGTTTAGCTCCATGAGTTTAACATTAAAAGCTCTGACTCACGTCACAGATAGAAGCATACAAATTATGCATACACGTTACAGAGGCTTTGTTTCTCTTTTTTTCCAACGTGGAGGGAGGAGAAAGGGGAATAGGGATAGAGCAGTGAAAGAACAGAAAGAAAAGAGGGTCACTGAGACATGTGAAAGAATAGAAGGAAGACCAGAACAACAGCTGAGCAGGAGAGCTCTGAAAGCTATAGGCTGATCTTATTACATACTTCAAATGTGCTAGGAGACCTGCAGTTTCATGTACAATCTTCTTTTTCTGTTTTACACATATGCAAATACTCTTTATTTTCAAGAGGAAGGGAAGGGAATAAGCCTCTCTACAGCACCTATTATATGGCAGGCACTGTGCCAAGTGATTCTTTACAAATATTATCTTACTTGATATTTGGTGTTTTAATTCAGAATAAAATTAAAAATTAGTTATCCCTTCCACATCAGAGGGGTTAGGGGTACGGTAGTGGCTCTGCGAGCTGGAAAATCCATATAACATTCTTTGGCCCTCTCTTTGTACTAGAGAAGAAGTCTGAATTATTAAGGTATTAAAAGATGAAACAGAGAGTGATGCAAGAAAATCACGAAAAATGAGTCAACAGCTTGCTAAAGGAGACACAAAAAAATACTGAAGAAAATAACACCTTAAAAGATAAACGAACCCAAATGGCAAAAGAGGTCCAAAAAGACAATGAGAAGATTTAACAATGCCTTAAAAAGCAGAATTGGCCAAATGGAAAAGGAAATCCAAAAACTCACTGAAGAAAATAATTTCTTAAATATTAGAAAGGAGCAAATGGAAGCTAATGACTCTATCAGAAATGAAACAAAACCAAAAGAACAAAAAAAAAAAGAAGACTGAAATATTTCACTGGAAAAACTGGAAAACAGATGCAGATGAGATAATTTAAAAATTATTGGACTACCTGAAAGCCATGATCAAAAAAAGAGCCTAGACATCATCTTTCAAGAAATTATCAAGGAAAACTGCCCTGATATCCCAGAGGGTAAAATAGAAATGTAAAGAATCCACCAATCACTCCATGAAAGAGATCCGCAAAGGAAAACTTCTAGGAATATTGTAGCCAAATTCCAGAGTTCCCAGGTCAAGGAGAAAATATTGCAAGCAGCCAGAAAGAAACAATTCAAGTACTGTGGAAACACAATCAGGATAATAAAAGATCTAGCAGCTTCTACATTAAGGAATAGGCGGGCATGCAATATGGTATTCCACAGGTCAAAGGAGCCAGGATTAAAACCAAGAATCCCCTACCCAGAAAACTGAGTATAATCCTTCAGAGGAAAAAATAGATATTTAATGAAACAGAGGACTTTCAAGCATTCTTGATGAAAAGAGCTGAACAGAAAATCTGACTTTTAGATACAAGACTCAAGAGACATGTGAAAAGGTAAACAGGAAAGAGAAACCATAAGGGACTTATTAAAGTTGAACTGTTCACATTCCTACAGGGAAAGATGATATAGGGTAGTTAGAGGGAATATAGATATAGATATAGATATAGATATAGATATAGATATAGACATAGACATAGACATAGACATAGACATAGACATAGACATAGACATAGACATAGACACAGACAGACATAGACATAGACATAGACACAGATACAGGTACAGATATAGATATAGATATAAGGGTAAGTTGAATCTGAAGCGATGATATCTAAAAAGTAAAATTAAGGGGTGAAAGAGGATTGTACTGGGAGAAGAAGAAAGGGAGAAGTAGAATAGGCTAAATCATCTCACATAAAAGAGGTAAGAAAAAGTTTTTACAGCAGAGGGAATGAGGAGGGAAGCAAGAGAGAATGAGTGAATCTTATTCTCATTAGATTTGGCTTAAGGAAGGAATAACATACACACCCAATTGGGTTTGGAAATCTACCTTACCCTACAGCAAAATAGGAAGGAAGGGGATAAGAGACAGGAAGCTGATAGAAAGGAGGGCAGATTGAGGGAGAGGTTAATCAAAAGCAAATACTTTTGAGAAAGGACAGTATCAAAGGAGAGAACAGAATAAACAGGGGGCAGGATAGGATGGAAGGAAATGTAGTTAGTCTTTCACAATATGATTATTATGGAAGTGTTTTGCGTGACTACACGCATATAACCTATATTGAATTGCTTGCCTTCTCAATGATGGTGGGTGGGGAAGAAGGAAGGGAGAGAATTTGGAACTCAAGGTTTTAAAAATGAATGTTAAAAACTATTTTTACACACAACTGGGAAATAAGATATTTAGGCAATGCGGTACAGAAATCTATCCTGTCCTATAGGAAAATATAAGGAGAAGGAGGGGAGGGCAGGTAATAGAAAGGAGGGCAGATTGAAGGAAGGGGTATTCAGAATGCATGCCATCTTGGGGTGGGGGGAAGGGAGAGATGGGGAGAAAAATTTGGCATTTTTTTTTAAAAGATGAAATATGCTGATATTATACAATGCTATACACACACTTTATGCATTTCTATGTTTCTAAATTTTTTTCTGTGTCATCTGTGGCTTCTGTACTCCCAAAAAATTCCTATTTGATTTATGCCAATCCGTGATACATCAAAACCATAATGGGGAAAATCACAGCGTGGAAGGGATAACTGTAATTTTTTAAGATGTATTTGCCTAAAAAGAATATGATATGTTCCATACAGAAAAATTAACTTACATAACATTTTATTCCTTAAAAAAGGAATAAAACTGTGTATTTTACTGTTGGAAATCCCTACTTCTTTCACTCAAATTCATTCATTTTGTCAACCAGATTCACATTCAGTCATTTTCAGTCACGTGCAATTATTTGTGACCCCATTAAGGGTTTTCTTGGCAAAGATATGGAAGGGTTTGCCATTTCCTTCTCCAGCTCATTTTTCAGATGAGGAAACTAAGGCAAACAGGGCTCAGTGACTTGCCCAGGGTCACACAGCTAGGAAGTATTTGAGGCTGGATTTGAACTCAGGTCTTCCTGACTCCAGGCCCAGCTGGCGCTCTATCCACTGTGCCACCTAGATACCCTATAATGTTCTACTTACCATGAAATGAAGTCACTGAAAGGACAGTATATCCTTTCAACTAGCTCAGAGTGTTAAGACGATTCTTGATTAACAGACCTCAAAGATCTATTTTCATCTATCATGGAATACGTATTCTATCCAAGAGCATTATTTAATTTACCTGGAATATCATTCCATCAAGTAACTGTCCTTCTAGTTTTTGCAAAAACTTCTCAAATGGCTTCAGTTTTTCTTCCTGGATCCCAAACTTTGAAGGATTGTGGTGGACAGACTTCAGTAACCTTTATTAAGAGAATCTCAGTTATTACTAGCACATCTTAAATCAAATGAAGTTCTTTATATGTAAAATTTAAATCCCACCCCAAAAGGCAAAAAAATAAAACTTTGAAGGTATAACTCTTAGCTGATCCTCTACCTTTGGCAGTGTGAACGTGAATGATCCTAATAAATTCAATCCCCTTGTCTCAGGTTTGTTCCCCAAAACACTTAAGTTCATTAAACAATATCCAAATAAGTTGACAGATGTGAAAAAAATTGAAACCAAGCTAACAGGAAAACTGCCACCCTGACATAGCCCAATTTAATTCAATTAGTGTTTACTAGAATTATGTTTTACTGGAATTCATCTAAATATATTTCTTCCTTTTGTTTTATTTTATTAAAAGAGGTATGCTTGGCTTCAAAACATGAAAATCTAGATGAACAAAATGGATAAAGTAGAAGTGATTACACTTTTGAACCAAAGGATTCACCCCACAGGATGCCTTTACACAGAGGCCTTCAACCAACCAATCAATAAGCGTTTATGAAACACCTGATACAGACCAGGCCCCGCGCTAGGTCAAATGAGGTAACATTTATAAAAGCGCTTAGCCCAGTGCCCAGCACATAGCGGCCCTGTGTAAATGCTCGTTCCCTTCCCTTCATGCTGGGAATAGCAGAATGAAACAATCCCTGCTTTCAACGAGCTCACATCCTAACAGGGGGAGGCCACAAGAGCACAAACATGCACATACAGAGTAAACACGAAGAGAATAAATGCAAAATTTTCACTTTCACTTGGACCTTCACAAGTGACCTTCAAATTACATCATTTTCTGACCTGGTATTCCATGTTAAGTTTTCACTCATTTTTCAATTAAATAAAGACCCCACCAGCCCTGGAAAGCATAAAACAGCCCCATTAATGCACCTTTTATACATTGTCCAATGGTCTTTCAAGGTGGCATGATTCTCAACGATTGCATCCAGCGTGAGTAAAACCGTCAGCAGCTCTCCCAAGTGCTCATACATGGTCTGCCAAAAAAGCTTCAGTGATTATCACTTCCAGGAGCCACAGGACTTTAGAAGCGCAGAAGAACAGCTGAGAGGCTGAAGGTGCAGCTAAGTGGCAGTGGATCTGATTAGCTCTGAGAAGGAAAATTCTGCCACTGGCTGCACCCCGGGGCTTGGCTACCGTGGCTCGCTGGTCACAAGAGAGATCTGGGAAAAGTCACGGACAGCCTTGCCACCACTGGGCAGCCAGGTACTGAACAGGCATCGTTAGTATTTCATTTCAAAGATAAAAGTCACCCTAAGAAACTGAGACAGTGGCATTTCAGTGGACAGCCAAGTTAGCTTCTGCAGCCTTGATTCAATGGGTGTCGAATACTCCACATATTTGATTTTTTAAGAATCTGTTAGGTTCATTTCATATAACTTTTTTCCCTTTCTTTTAATAATAAAAATTAAACATAAACAAAAATAAAATTTAGAATACAAATGTGTGGATTTTTTCACTAAAGTTAAAGCACTCTTACCTGAAAATGAACTCCAGTTGTTTCTATGATTTTGGGGGCAATCCTACAAGAAACAAAACAGAAGCTTGTCAAATGCTAGCTGGCTTTATATGACTTGTTCCTATTTCAAGACAATAGATGGCTCTTAATAATCTTAATATGCATTTCTCTCCATTAAGTCTTAATCACTAAGAGTTAATGCAATCAAATTAGCCATCATCATCATCATCATCAAACCCAGTTTTCCACGTGAGAAGCTAGTTCATGGACACTTGGACTAGTACTGAAAACCACTTAGATAGAGGCAGTACCTCTCTGAGAGAAAAGGAGACTACTGGTGGGAAACCCCAGGCCTGAGTTCAAATCCCAGCCCTTGCCAACACTAGCTGCATCACCCCAAGCAAACTATTTAGCCTCTTGATGCTTCAACATCTGCATCTGTAAAATGGGAACCACAATGTTTGCACTGTCCACCTTACAGGCTTACTGGGAGAGAAGTATTCTGTAAGCCTTAGAGTACTATGAAAACATGAGTTTTACTGGGCTTTTTTAAACTTTCCTCTCTGAGGGCAGGAACCTTATCTAACCTAAACGTTTCATCACCCTTCCCATGCTCCATCCCCGCAGGCCCTGCACAGAAGAGGCTCAGTGTGTCTAATGTGTCATAGTGGACAGAGCTTCGGGTCCCGTCAGAAAAGGGAGGGTTCCAACCCCACCCCATCACTTAGTTATGTGATGTTAGGCAAGTCGCTTAAGCTCTATAAGCCTCAGTTTCCCCATCTGTAAAATGAGGAGTTAGATTAAATGGTCTCTAAGGCTCCTTCCAGCTCTAAGCCAATGAACCTACGAGGGTCTTATCACACAATTTTTGTCCTCACCCATACTCTCTTCCCAGACAACTCCACAAACATATAATACAAACGTGAGGAGTCCCAAGGCAGAAGCAAAGAAATGCACTTTAACTATGTGAATGCCCCTACCCTAACTGCCAGACTTCACCAACATGACTCTGTCTTACCTACCGCAAAGCAAATGCTTCTGCCAGCACCTGGGCATTCTTCTCCCATTCAGTCACATTAGACAAGAAAACCCTTCCTGGATCCCCGCCTTGTCTCCACTGAAACTATAAGCTAGACCATGCAGGGTTACCAAAGACCAAGGTCATAGTAGAGAGTTCTGACAAAAGGTGATCCACTAGAGAAGGAAATGGCAGACCACTCCAGTATCTTTGCCAAGAAAAACCCCATGGATGGTGTTAAAATGATAAAAGAGATACCTGAAGATGAGCCCCTTAGGTTGGAAGGTGTTCAACACATTACTGGGGAAGAGCAAAGGAAATTACAGATAGCTCCAGACGAATTAAATGGCCAAAGCCGAAAGGCAGCTCAGCTGTGGGTGCGTCTGGTGATGAAAGGAAAGGCTTGTGCTGGAAGGCTCAATCTTGCATAAGAACCTGGAACTAAGATCTATGAACCAAGGTAAGCTGGATGAGGTCACATCGGAGATAAAAAGCTTAAACATCAACATCCTGGGTGTCAGTGAACTAAAAAGGAGGGATTGGGTGAATTTAATTCAGGTGATCACTACATATGCTACCTCCGGGGTAAGAATCCCTTAGAAGAAATGGAGGAGCCAACATAGTCAATATAAGGGCCAGAAAAGCAGTACTGGGGTACAATCTCAAAAATGAAAGAATGAGATCTGTTCGAATCCAAGGCAAGCCGTTCAACATCAGAGTGATACAAGTGTATGCTCCAAACACTGATGCCAAAACGGCCCAAGTCGATCACTTCTATGAAGACCTGCGTCATCTCATAGAAGTAACACCAGAAGAGGATGCCACATTCATCACAGGGGATTGGAATGGCAAAGCAGGAAATCAAAAGATAACTAGAACAGTAGGCAAGTTACCCAAAGAGCAGCTTGGTCTTCCAAGAGGCGGAGGAACCAGAGATCAAACTGCCAACATCTGATGGGATGATGGGAGAAAAGCGCGGGAGTTCCAGAGAAAGACAAAGAAAACCCTCTACTTCTGCTTCGCAGACTGCACTAAAGCCTTCTCCTGTGTAGATCACACTGGTTAGTGACAAGTCCTCAAAGAGATGGGAGTACCAGAACATCTTATCTGTCTCTTGAGGAACCTGTCTGCAGGTCAAGAAGCAACAACTAGGGGGCGGTGAGGTGGCGCAGTGGATAGAGCTCCGGCCCTGGAGTCAGGAGGACCTGAGTTCAAATCCGACCTCAGACATGTGACACTTACTAGCTGTGCGACCCTGGGCAAGTCATTTAACCCCGACTGCCTCACCAAAAACAAACAAACAAACAAACAAAAGAGCAGCAAGAGCTAGAACAGAACATGGAAAAATGGATTGGTGTAAGATTAGGAAAGGAGTATGACACGGCTGTATGTTGTCACTTTATTTATTTAATTTATACACATAGTACATCATGCGAAATGCCATGCTGGATGAGTCAAAAGCTGGAATTGCAGCTGGGGGGAGAATTACTAACAGTCTCAGATATGCAGATGATCCTTCTCTGAGGCAGAAAGCAGCCTCTCGATGAAAGTGAAGGAGGAGAGAGTAAAAGCTGGCTTTGAAGCTTAACACTAAAAAACCTAAGATCATGGCAACCGGTCCTATCACTTCCCAGCAAATGGAGGAAGAAGAATGGAAGCAGTGTCCAATTTTATATTCTTGGACTCTTAAGATCACTGCAGAGAGCAACCGCAGACATGAAATTAAAAGACACTTCCTCCTTAGAAGGAAAGTTATGGCAAATCTGGATGCATACTAAAAAGCAGAGATGTCACCTTGCTGACAAAGGCCCATACAGTCAAAGCTGTGGTTCTTCCAGTAGCAACGTGTGGCTACAAGCATTGGACTATAAGGAAAGCTAAGCGCTGCAGAGTCGATGCTCTTGAACTGTGGTAACGGAGAAGACTTTCGAGAATCCCTAGGACAGCAAGAAGGTCAAATCAGTCAATACTTAAAGAAATTAACTAAGGTTATTCATTGGAAGATCAAATACTAAAGCTAGAGCTTAAATACTTGGGCCACATAATGAGAAGACAGGACTCACTGGAAAAGACCCTGATGTTGGGAAAGATTGAAAGCAAAAAAAGGGGGAAGGCAGAGGATGAGATGGATGGATGGATGGCACCATGGAAACAACAAATATGAGCTGGGACAGACTTTGGGATATATGGAGGACAGAAGGGCCTGGAGGACTGCAGTCCATTGGGTCACAATGAGTTGAACACAAGTGAATGACTGAACAACAACAACAGGTAAGAAAAAAGCGGCTTGAGGGACAGCATGTCAGCCTGGGATCAGGAGACCTGGCTTTTAATATTGGCTCAGTGACCGATTAGCTACAAGAATTTAGGAAATCACTAGGCTGCTGGGGGCGTCAGTTTCCTCACTGGTAAAATGAGCATCACTGTACTAGATGACCTCTAAGAATCACTCCAGCTCTAACAGTCCATGAATCTAAGAATCTACGTCCTGCTGACAATGGGTCAGTAGCATTCCATTCAAAAATGAAAAACAAAAAATAATTGTCTCACTAGAGAGTAAAAAATAGGAACAAACATTACTAGTACCTTCTGGTCACAAGGAGGGAAAAGTCAGAGGCAGTATGATGAGGTGGAAAGCACAACCAGGAACAGGGGATGGTGCTCATCCCACACCTGCCACCCACTTAACTGGGTGAAATCAGGCAAAGCTCATGGCCTAAGAGTCAGCTTCCTAATCTAAAAAAGAGAGACTTCTGCCCTATCTCTCTCCCTACCAATCTGCTATGAGGGTAAAAGGTGATCACATTTGTGGAAACTGCTTTGGAAAATACAATGTCCTCTACAACTCTGAGTTATTCTCCAAAACTAGGTCTACATCTATGGGGAAACCTAAGAAGCCCAAGTTCTTGTCTGTCTCAATCCTGTAAATCTGGAGGAGTGAGAGAGGAACGTAAGGCCTGGAAGCTGGAGCAAAGGCTAATCTTCTCATCAAGGGGTTGGATTCATTTGGATTTAACCAACATTATAAACAAACCTCGGAGGTTACTCTGTTCAAGTTCTAACTCAAACACAGCAAGCTCTATTTCTGTTAATGAAGTAGAATTGAAAAAAAAACCCAACATTTTATGTGTCTATAGTAGAAAAGCAAAAGTATTTGTGAAAGTCATTACTTGTTATTGATATAAAGGGCGGCCAACTGATGGACTACGTTCATCACCACTTCATAGCACCTTGTAACAAAACAAGAGAGTTCCTGAAATGACAAATGGGGAACGTGTTACATAGTCATTTTTCCAAGCATTTTTTAAATTGAAATTGATGGTACAAGACGCTCATCAAAATCAGATAACCTTCATTAACAGCCGAGTTAATCAGCAACCCAGGCAATTAATCCCCTCCAGCAACCTGTTCTCTCTATACACTCCCTAGAATCAACAAAGCTACACTCACAAGGGACCAGCTTGATCGAGACTTTAATCCAAAAGGAAGAAAGCTGCAGACGCTTTAAAAGACTATAAATTCATGCCACCACCTGGGGGAAGCCATCCAGGCAAGCACAGGAAAATCATTTCTATTTGCAGGAAACAGGCTGTTCACTAAGAGTTAATCCATGTCCTTGTTCTTTCCCCAGAATTCACAAAGACGTCCGTTTTCTACCTCTGAGTTTATCATCTCTAGGAAGGATTATCTGGCTAATTAAGCCTCATTTACTAACTTTATTTTTCTACTCAAAAGACAGTTGAGATTTATGCTTATCACTCACAGATTAACAAGCATCTCTTCACCATCCCAATGCATAGTAGAATTACCTTCAGGTTTCTCACAGCTCTAATCAGACTTTACTTTAGAAATTATTGCTTTTCTCAAAGATATAAGAAGCTTTTTATTTAGGTGGGAAGTAACTAGATTTTTTATTTCTTCTTGGATGTTCGTTCACTTTCACCCAAATCAGTTTAATTGAATTTTGTATTTTACAAAGCCCTCTGAAAGGATTTAAATTATGATCGGGTAGCTTGACTTAAGACAGTAAGTAGTTATTCAAGCTGGCTGGGCCCTGAGGCTCCAGCCTCGGGCCTTTCTGTCCAACATTTTTATCAATTATTTGGATGACATTCTTTGTGGCCTGCTTATCAAATCTGTGGTCACCACCAAACCAGGAGGGAGTGCGATATATCACAGGACAAAATCTTAATCTCAAAGAAGATCTCTAATAGGCCACATACAATCAGAGGCGAAATCCCATTAGAGGGAATTTATTTCAAATGTAAAACACAACAAATCCAAATGATTCCTTGAGCAGAAACCTCAACTGAACTAATCCTCCTCCTGGAGCCTGAAAACTCCCACAGAGTTCAAAGGAACCATCCCTTCCTGAGACACTACCTTTTGGAGCTGCCACATCCCACTGTAGATACATGGTGAGCTTGCGGTCCACTAATAGCCCCAGATTATTTTTAGTTGAATTCCTGTCTAACCTTACTGCCCACATCTTATACTTGTGAAGTTCATTTTTTGATCCCACATATATAATATTTTACGTTTATCCCTATTAGAGTTCATCCTAATAAATGAAGATCCTGGCCCGACATTCTGGCCTCGCAAGATTTTTGGGTGCTATAATCCAACATAAGAGGTATGCTCTTAACCCTGTGCCATCCAAAGATTCAGTAAGTACACAAGCTGTGCCTTTATCCAAGTCATTAGTAAAATAGCATTTATTAACATTTAATAAATACTAATGCTTTAATAAATACTGATACTTATTAAAATAAAACAAAACATTAAACCACACAGAGCCAAGGAGAGATCCCTGTGGCGCTCCATTAGAGGCCTCCTCCCAAGCTGGCACTGGCCCGCTGACTGGTCTAGCCGGTCAAGCATTTCCCCATATACTTAAACGTGCTGCATCCTCATTCGTGCCTTTCCATCTGGTCCACAAAAGCACCACGACCATAAGCCTCTGTGAACAATGACGTCTTCCTTTTTATACCAGTGGCCTTCCTGCTGGACTGACCTTCCTGCTGTTCTTCACACGTGGCCTCCCACCTCCACACCTTTGCACTAGTTATGCCTGATGCCTGGAATGCAGTCCCAGTTCTGTGAAATCCCTTGCTTCCTTCAAAACTCTGCTCATGCAAAACCTTCTCCACTAAACTTCTCCTGATCCACCCACCTGCTCGTGCCTCCCCGCAATGGCCCACAAAACCATCTGCTTTGTAGCGATTGTACACATTTTCATTTGTTCTTATTTATGTATGTGTTTTCTTCATTAGTAAAACATAAGCTCCCCGAGGGTACCTGGTGCCCTTGCTGCCTTGCACACAGCCCGGCTCCAAACAGGCCCTGCAGAAAGGCAAGGTGAGGCTAAAGAAACGCCCAGGAAAACAGCAAGTCAATTACCTGTAAGAACGAAATGAATCTCCCCATCTGGATTTGGCAATCGCCCTCTGCCATGCTGGAATCTGTAGCTTTATAAAGGTAACAAAGGCAATCGGATTTCAGAGAAGTCAGCAGTCAGACATAGTCAACAAGAAAAAAATGCCAGTTTTTAACCAAAGTACTATTTTTAATTGTGCCTAATATCACCTAACTGATACCCTCATAACTTTGCTCAAGCAACAGTGTTTACGAGCCCACCCTCCAAAGTTCTCCCTCCCAAAATACATTGTATTTAACTGTATTTATGTTGTGTAACTCTGTATGTCTACATATTCTGTACTTATTTACATATATATTTCTTGTCTCCCATATGATAAATGTAACCTCCTTGCAAAGAGGGATTGTTTCAGGCTTCATCTTTGTAAACCCCCATCGTCAGGAAAGAAAGCAATCATTACCTCACATGTAGAGTTAAAAGAACTTACCTCCTTCCCCATAAAACAAAAGACCATTGTAAAATTTAGTTTCAGCCTGTTTCAAAGAAAAAAATATTGTGTTTTTAGCAGGCACATGAGCTTTGTCCATACACGGCTGAACATCAGAAGTCCAAGGCCACGGAATGCCCGGGACACCCGTTGGCAGCTCTGTGATCCCCTTCATGGCGGGACTCCTCCCAACAGCACCAAGCACAAGCTGGGGTGTGATCTAAGGGAGGCCCTAGCTTGGTCAACAGCTTATACACTATCCCAGTGACCCAGACTTCAAATCCCAGGCCCTACCCGACCTGCCCAGCCCTCCTGATTCTGTGCCCATAACATGGCACCCGTTTGTGAAGCCTTTACCCACAACCCACTAGCAGCACACATCATGCAGGCACTCCCACAGTGGTGGTCCTTCTGCCTCCACCTCCCCTGTCACGGCTACCCCGCGTGCAGCTTCCAATGAAGGAAAGGGCCCATCTTGCCATCAGAAGGCTTGAGGGTGCCACCTCCGCCACACCTCTGCTCTACAGTTCCTTGGGGAGAAGGAGGGCCCTGGATAAGAGGATTCCCCAAGGACTTGTCTAGTTCTCATGACCAATTACTGATCATTAGCGATGCCAGACTGAACAAGTCATGTCACCTAAGCCTCAGTTTCCCCTTCTGCAAAATGAGGCTGTTGACAGGAAACTGCTTTAACCTGAACATCCTACACAAACTAGTTATCCACGTAACGTCAAGTCTGTTCACCTCACTCCACTGCTGAAATGCCTTACGTGGCTCCCAACCGCCACGAGACAGAACACCTCTTCTCAGTAGGCCTCTCAGGCCTCTCCGATCTTAGCTTTCCAGCCTCCTCTCACATTCTGTGTTCCTGACAACTCCTACAGCTGTCCCTTGGTGCACGTGTCCTCACTGTCCTTCAGGCCACACCTCAACTCTCTGCAATCCATTTCTCCCTTCTGGCTCAGCTCAGGGGCCGCCACCTCCTCCAGACTTTCCTTGACTCTTCTTCAAGCTCTCAGGCTGTTCTCTCTCTCTCTCTGTCTCTCTCTGCCCCCCACCTCATCTCTGTCTGTCTCTCTCCATCTCTATCTGTCTGTCTGTCTCTCTCTCTCTCTCTCACACACACAATCTATAGGTTCCTTGAAGGGCATCTCTGTATCCCTAATAACTAACGAAATGACCTGCAGACACTAAACGTCCACTAAACTGCTTAAGTCCATATAAATTGGGAAATTACATTTTAATCATCAGGACGAAGTTCTATTCTAGTAGCCTCAAACTAGTCATTTCTTGCTTCGTCTTCCCTACATTTCTCCCTGCTTGCGTGCCCATTTTAATTGGCCTACATTCGTAATACAAGGCAGCAGCAGAGTTAAGGTCAAGACCAGAAGGGAAGAGCTGCCGCCACAGCTTCTGCCAGACCTCTGATGACCCCAGAGCTAAAGGTCAAAGAGCAGTGGATCTGGCCACACCATTCGAGATTCAAAAAAAAAAAACAGGCCATATCTGATGGATTATTCATTTGCAAACTACCAATTTTAGGGAGCATTTACAATACAGTCTTAATAATTACCTCATATTTTAATTTCTTGATTTCACAACAAAGAGCAGCATACACAGTGATGACTTTGTTTAAGACCTGGTTTAAATGAGCAAAGTAGGGGAAAAAAATTTAGCAGATAACGTACATAACAGGTTTTAATGTAATATTTAGCTATTAAGATTCTTTACCTTGTTTTCTGTCTTTATGAGCTCCAAAAGGGAAGACTGTTCATAAGGCAACAACTATTTAAGAACAAGGAAAAAACATTTTTTAGTTTGAGAACTGCAAACACATTAGGGCCCATAGTTACAACATGCTCAGTACCACAATAAATACCATGCTACCTCCTGGCATCAAAGCGTAAGTTCACAGAATCGCAAGGTTCTGAACAGGGATCTTTTTGCAGCTTCGGCCCATCACTCATTCTGCCCTCTAAGGCCAAATGGAACCGGTGCTGTCCCTCTTCCATATGACATCCTTGATGACATCGCTATAATGTGTCCCCCCACACACAGACCCACCACCCCATCATCCTGAGTCTTCTCTTTCCAGGACAAACAACCCCAGTTCTAAGAACCAATTAAGGCAAATGATTAAAAAGGAAAGGAATGAAACATAAGAAAGAAGGCTTTTTATAAGACACGGTTCTCATTTAGTATTATTCCGCTGGGCCAATTTTGGTTGTCCCTTGAGTTCTTAAGTAGCTCATGAATTAAAATAAAGCAAGCTCATGCAGTAGGGGAAAATAATTCAAAATATGCTTATAAGACAATGCTCTCTGAGTTATCACTGTGCCAAAGGGAGGCCACCTGAAGACATCAGCCTGCCACATCCAAAGTGCCCAACAAAATGCTGAGTCTTAACAAAAGTAGTAGGAACAAGAGAGAAAACCTTTATTGCTGTACAAAACTGTGGCTCACTCATATCAGAAGCACAATGAGCAATTCTGGTCACCATTTTGCAAAAAAAAAAAAAGTTCTACCTTTCGAGGTCTCGTGCAAATGCCGCCACTTCCATGAAGCCTTCCCTGAATCCCCCCAAGTGAAAGTGACTATTCCCCCTCCTTTTAACTACAAGAATACATGGGGCCCTTAATGGCACTTCACACACATACACCATGTATTAAAAGTTATCTGCATACATCACGTCACCTCCATTTACTAAACAACTGTATTTTATTTTGCTTGGAATGAGGGAAGACAGTAAAGTATTTGCTAACTGAATAGAGTCAGACTACAGGAGGGCCAAAGAAGGGCTATGACAACAGTCAGAAAAGGGAGGAGGAAGGATTAAAAAGACAAGCATTCTTGATCTGGAAATGTAGAAATCATGAAAGCTTATAAAGTCACAAACAACATAACTCTTACCATCATATTATGGCATAGGAAAATCAGGAGGTATCTCCTTAAAGCTGGAGAGGTCAGTTTAGCAGAAATAAAAGGAAATGCTTTCATGCAAACATTAATTAACTTTTAGAACTCATTACTCACTGAGGTGGCACAGACAGAATCCATAAAAAGAGCTGCGAAAAGTTAGAGAAACTCACAAACGACTGACCTATCACCGAGATTTTTAGGGAAGCTCTAGGATGTTTGGGAGACCCTTCACTAAAACTCTGGAGGCCAGAGAACTATGCCCTCTTAACAACATGTCCTCCAGGGTGGAGGAGTGGGGCAGTGGGAACAGCATTGGTCAAACCTCAGATCTGCCGGCTGCGAGACCTCACAAGGGAATTCATCCACCTGAACCTTTTACTATGGTCCCTTTTAGCTCTGACGTACATGAGATTACTGGGGTGTATGAATTACAAATCTTACCCAATGTCAATTCTTATGTCGTTAGAATAAATTCTCTGGGATTGAAATATATATCGAGGGGCTTTGAAAGAAGTTTATTTAATGGAAGATCATTGCAAGTAGGGTAGAAGATTTGCAGAAGGGGGTGAGGAGGAAGGGCAAAAGGAAGAATTAGAAATAAAGCTAAAAAGAACACTACGAACTTTCTAGTTTTAGCTTAAATATTATAATCTCAGATGCAAAGATAATGAGAGTTTTGGGGTTTTTTAATGATAAGGATTTTAAGTCTCAGGTTATTTTTCCTGGAAGAGATGTATGATAGTGGATTTAGTCCTGGCCTTTAATTAGATGAGGACGTGATGGCAGAAGGAGCTACTCTTCCCATTTAAAAAATAAGAAGGAATTGCCAGAATTTTTGGGTTGCCCTGCCTCACTTTAATCCAATTCATTTGCAAGTCAAGACATCACCTCCTGATGTCCCTGGAACTCTTGGAGAATGAAGGACAAACAACAACCATTCTTGGGTTAAATATGAAAGCTGCCCAACTCAAGAGTTTGGGAGGTCCCTAGAGATGTAGAATCAATCACTTTTTGAGGAGAAAACAGAGGGGAAAATCAACTGTTTGAGTACAATTCTACCTGGGAAAGAGACAGTGTGAGCCACAGCATTGAAGCTGGAGCTCAGGGCTCATCTCCCGGCTCTGACCAGGAGGTGACACTGGGTGAGTCAAGCCAAACCAGGCCACCTCTCTGAGTCTGAGGGTCCTCACTAGGGAACAGTGTGCACAGTCAACCTCTCACTGCTGGCCGACAGGGCCGTGGGAGAGACAGGTGTTTTTCACCTCAAAGCACAATGAAAGACAACAGGAGTGACTGGTGGGGTAGGAGCTGGGACATAGCACACATCCTCTCACGAGGCCTTCCAACCCATAAGGTTCTAAATTCTAAGAACAAATATTCCTTAAAAATGTAAATTCATTATAAAATAAACAAATCTGACCTTTAGTGCTATAGGGTCAAGCCTGAAGTCCCACACATCACCAACAGAGCTATCCAGCGCATCTTCAATTCTTCTGAGCTGGGATGTGTACTCCTCAAGAAATTTCCCATAATTCTTCAGCTGGACTTCAGCATGAATTTCTAAAAAGTAAATTTCAAATGTTGATAGCTGGCAGACAATAATACACTCGAGGAAAAAGTAAAAACTTTTCTTCTGATTTAAAGCTGACATTAATTATCTAAACTTCATACTATAATACTGGACCTTCCTGAAAGTATAGGTCCAAAGTTTAAAAAGATCTTTCCTTTGCCCTCCGATATACTGATTTTTCTGGCATCTGGGATGCTAGAGGGGAAGCTTTTGTTATGAATCACTTACTAGTTCTGGCTAATCTAACAATTATCCTACAACCCTTTAGAATAAAGACTTTGCCCCTTTAACTTAGGCTTCTGGAAAGGCCAGGAACCTGGGAAAAACCAAAGGCAACTGAAGGTTCAATTGATACTTTGTATGGCTATTATTACACAGTCTAGCTGTATCAAAGGCAGAGACAATATATTTCTTACAGTATGATGTCATATTTGGTATAGGGAACTTCTGATGACAAAACCACCTCTGCCAGTGGAGATCAGCATCTGCTCCTGTAACCTGCAGTCTAAGAGAGGCTGTGGGAATACCGCAGAATCTGGAAATCTTGAAGACCTGGGCTGCTGGGAGGCTCTGGACAAGTCCCTTAGTGTCTTAGTGAAGTCCCAGACATCTATGATACCCTATAGTCCATACTTGCAATTATACGAAGTCATGACTCAGATTGGAAAAACTGTACTATAACTGTATCCAAGGAATACCTCATATCCAAGTTTCATACATAAATTATTCCTGGAGAAGGCAGATTTTCTCCAAAAATGATCATTTACTTACAGAAGCTCTCTCCTCAGGGGGTCAATGGAGACTCAAACAAGATAATGTATGTAAAACAATCTACTAACTTAAAGCATCTGGTAAATGTTCATTATTCCCACAGTTGATAATAGAGTCTTAAAGCCTCTTTGAAAGCACGACTCTCAAGGCTCAGTGGATAGAGAGGTAGGCTTGGAGTCAGGAAGACCTGAGCTCAAATCAAGCCTCAGACACTGGCTATGTGACCCTGGGCAAGTCACTTGACCTCTGCCTAACTCTCCTCCATTTTTTTCCAGCACTTAGCACAGTATCTGGCAAATAGAAGGCTTTTAATAACTGACTGACTCTTGAATATATGACTGTCTAAAAAGGCTTATAAAAATAATACAACTAATTATCTCATCTTAACTATCAGGATGAATCCTTTTTGTTTTCAAAGATGATAGAAATTTAATTGCAATCAAAATTCTGTTCCTTTTATCTGTTTTAATATTTAATTCTACATTTTTGTGTTCTATACAACCAAAGAGCTAACTCATCCATCCCCTAATGTCAGAAGCACCCAGAATCTATGAGACAAGACTACGTGCTATAGTACTGAACTACAATATTTAATAAATCAGGAGACCAGGGCTTGCTTCCTCATTTCACCAATGACTTATCCAAATAATTAGATCCTTCAGCTAATCAGTGTTCCTTTCTCACATTTCATACCCACCTAATTCTTAACTATAATAATGTAGTATTGTGGGACAGTTTAAGAAGAGGTATAATCTTTGCCTCATCAAAAAGAAAAAAAAAGGATAATCACCAACGGGACACCGAGAAGGGTATCTTTCTTACAGCTCTAGTTACTTTTCTCTAAGACGGCCCAACAAAACATCTCACTGTCACTTAAATGTAAATTGTCTACATACGTGAGGACAAGGAGATACGCTTAGGAACAGGCAAACGAAGTCAATGTCAGAAATAAAGTGGAAAGTTGCTTGTTACTAATTTCAACCAAGATTTACTTCTGTGAAAAAATTTGTTCATGGCTGAACAACTTTTTCGTTACTAGATCAGGCATATGTGGGCGAGGAAAAAGGTAACTTGTTAAAACATTTTAAAGCTACCTTCTCAACAAAACAATCTATGTAAAATAAGAGAGAAAATCTACTAAAAATGGAGTCATTTAAAATTCAATTAACATGATTTACCTTTTAAAAATTTTGTAGAATGCAAAGGAAAATTTTGCATGAGTAAACAAGTATATGAAAACTACACATATCTCCTAAAAAAGAGGAAAGGAACACATCATCCAATACATTTCTAAAGTCCTGAGCAACAGTCTCTTTAAAAGTGTTTTGTGAAAAACTACAGAAAATCATATGAAGTTCAGTACTTAATGTTGTCCACCCTTCATGTAGAATCTAATGAAATTTAACTATACCGCAGTTAATTTTTTTTAAAGTGATCCAAAATTTGGTTAGAATTCAAAAAGCAAATAAAACTTTAATGACATAGTTATAATGTAGGAAAATCTGCACGTGTAAAACACTAATTGAGGAGAGATCTACAATCCTCAACTGTCTATATAATTCTACAAAATGCTTACTTTGAGATACATCTTATACACAAGCATACATGGCATAGAAACACTGCCAATTACTAGATCATTACTAAACAATAAGACAAAGATTTCCAAATGTCAAGCTCTACTTTAAAATTAGGATCATATGCTCTCAGAAAAACTTGGAAATACTTACATGAGCTAACGCAAAGTGAAATATACCGTGTACAAAGTAACAGCAATATCGTAAGATGATCAGCGGTGAATGATTTAGCTATTCTAAGCAATACAATGATCCAAGACAACTTTGAAGGACTTAGGATGAAAAATGCTATCCATTCCCAGAGAAAGAACTGAATCTGCATACAGTTTGAAGCATACTTTTTTTTTACTTTATTTTTCTTGAGGGTTTTTTTTGGTCTATGTTTTCTTTCACAATATGACTAATATGGAAATGTTTCGCATGACTACATAGGTATAGCCTCTATTAAACTGTCTGCCTTCTCAATGGGGGGGCCAAGGAAAGGAGGGAGGAAGGGAGAGAATTTAGAACTCAAAGTTTTAAAAATTAATGTTGAAAATTGTTTTTGCACGTAACTGAAGAAAAAATAAAATACTAAATACATTTTTTAAAAATGTACCAAAAAATTAGGATCACAGAATTTAGAGCTGGAAAGGATCTCAAAATATCTAGTTTGATGGAAACTAAGAGGAAGAAACCAAGGCCCAAAAGGTTTACTTGTTCAAAATCAAATTAGCTAGGAAATAATTAGTAAAGCTAGAATTTGAATCCAGGTCCTCTGACTCCAAACCCAATCTGATAACTCAATTTCATCAAGCAGAACACCATACAAATAAATTAACTTTAATGAATAGAGCTTCTCCTAGCCAAACAAGCAGCTGCAGTTTAATAAAGAATGCATCTTTGAATGCTGCTTGATGCAAAACAACCCTCACCCCCCATCACCAAAATCATGGAAGCCCTAAAATGCAAAATCTTCAAAAATGATCTAAGCAAAGATTTTCTTTCTTCTACATAGCTGATAATAAGAAAGTGGAGAAAACAAAAAAATAAACCAAGCTCCCAATAACTTGGTTTCAAAAGACAAAAACAGGAAACAGGAACCCAGACATCAGCTTATTTAAGAACTCCTGGCCCTGAGAAACTAGCCCAAAACCCAGGAGGCCACAGGCAGTAACCAATGTGAACTCCCCAAGGATGCAGGCAACAGCGTGGGGCTTCTCTAGATGCTAAATACACCATCCCTAGGACTGTGGCTTCAGGGTGAGGCTTCCTTTAAGTCCCAACTAAAATCCCACCTCCTACAGGAAGCCTTCCCAAGATCCTCTTTAATTCCAGTGCCTTCCCTCTAGTATTTCCTATTTATTCAGCACACAGCTTGCTTTGTATAAATGTGTTTGCTTGTGGTCGCCCCCATTAGATTGGGAGCTCCTTAAGGGCAGGGACTGTCTTTTGCCTCTTTTAGTACCCACAGCGCTTAGCACGGTGGCTGGAACATAGTAGGAGCTTAATAAATGTTTTCTGAATTAAAGTGAATTGAACTGAAGGAGGGAATGGGGAGGGGGAGTGCCATGGGATTTCGGGGGGGGGGAAGAAGGGGCACAAACCGTGGGGCTCGGAGGACAACTGAGGAGGGTGGTCTAAGCTGGGAGAGAAAAAGTGAGGAGGGAGCAAAGGGGCAGTGAGGGAGGAGGGGCACAGTGTGAGCGGGGAAAGAATAGTGAGGAGGGGAGGAAGACACTGGGGGGAGGGCGACAGGTGAGAAGGGATCGGCGAGGGGAGACAGGCCTGGGTGGGGGGGAGAACATGAGGGGAGCAGAGGACAAGTGGGGAGGGGGCGACGGGGGAAGGGTCAGCCTGAAGGGGCTCCGCCTAGGGAGGGTCAGTCTACGGGGTCAGCCTTGGGGGGACAGCCAGGGAGGGAGCGACAGGGGGAGGGGACAGCCTGGGGTGTCAACTTGAAAGGGCTCCGCCTAGGGAGGGTCAGTCTACCGGGTCACCCTGGGGGGACAGCCGGGGAGGGGGCTGGGCACAGCTGGGGAGGTCCTTGGGGGAGGAGATCGGCCTGAGGGGGAGCCCCGGGGGGTCTGGGAGCGGGGTGGGAGCAGGACTCGGAGGGGTCCGGGCCGGCGCCGGTACCAGCATGGAAGAAGGGGCATCCCCAGGGCCGGCCCCTCAGCGAGGACACCAGAGCCCCCATCCCCAGCTGTCCCACCACCGCCCCCTCCCCGCCCCCTCCCCGCCCCCTCCTCCACCTTACTCTGCGAGCCGTCGTCCAGACGGTCAAACTCCCAGTCCGGGGACAGAGTCTCCACCGCCATCGCCCCAGCGACAGCCCGAGCGGCCTCGCCCCCGTGACTGACGGGCAAGCGGGAGAGCACGTGACTTCCTGTCCCGCCCCCTGTCCTTTTCCAAAACTCGGATACGCACGTTAGCCCCACCCCCTACCCCGAGGGCCGCCGGGAAATGGAGTCCTCAAATGAGGCTCCGCTTCCGGTCCCGCCTCAGCCAGTGACGACGAAGGCGGGCGGCCAAGATCCCGTGACGTTTGCCGGGTCTCAGAAGTAACAAGCTCCTTCCTCCTCCCCGCCTCGCCCCAGCCCCGCCCCAGCCCAGCCTAGCCCACTGCAAGCCTTCGAGGCCTGCGGGCCCAGAGGGTATAGCGAAGGTGGGATCCTGACAAACTTGTGCCCACCTCCCTCTTTTTACTGAGGAGGAAACTAAGGCCCAGGCGGGGCAAGTGACTGACCCTGGGTCACCAGGTGGTGTTTGAGGTGGGGAGCCAGTGATAGTGATGGGGATGGGGGATGGGGATGAGGATGAGGGTGAGGGTAAGGATGAGGTAAGATGAGGATGAAGATGAAGGTGAGGATGAGGTAGGATAAGGATGAGGATGAAGATGAGGATGATGATGAGGGAGGATGAGGATAAGGTAGGATGAGGGAGGATGAGGATGAGGGAGGATGAGGATGAGGGAGGATGAGGATGAAGATGAAGGTGAGGATGAGGTAGGATAAGGATGAGGATGAAGATGAGGATGAGGTAGGATGAGGATGAGGGAGGATGAGGATGATGATGAGGGAGGATGAGGATAAGGTAGGATGAGGAAGGATGAGGATGAGGGAGGATGAGGATGAGGTAGGATGAGGATGAAGATGAAGGTGAGGATGAGGTATGATAAGGATGAGGATGAGGGAGAATGAGGATGAGGTAGGATAAGGATGAGGGAGAATGAGGATGAGGTAGGATAAGGATGAGGGAGGATGAGGATGAGGTAGGATAAGGATGAGGATGAGGATGAGGGAGGGTGAGGGTGAGGATGAGGATAAGGATGGGTGAGGATGAGGATGAGGATGAGGTAGGATGAGAATGAGGATGAGGTAGGATGAGGATGAGAATGAGGATGAGGGAGGATGAGGATAAGGATGAGGATGAGGTAGGATGAGGATGAGGTAGGATGAGGATGAAGATGAAGGTGAGGATGAGGTAGGATAAGGATGAGGATGAGGGAGGATGAGGATGAGGGAGGATGAGGATAAGGGAGGATGAGGATGAGGGAGGATGAGGATGAGGGAGGATGAGGATGAGGGAGGATGAGGATGAAGATGAAGGTGAGGATGAGGTAGGATAAGGATGAGGATGAAGATGAGGATGAGGTAGGATGGATGAGGAGGATGAGGATGATGATGAGGGAGGATGAGGATAAGGTAGGATGAGGAAGGATGAGGATGAGGGAGGATGAGGATGAGGTAGGATGAGGATGAAGATGAAGGTGAGGATGAGGTATGATAAGGATGAGGATGAGGGAGAATGAGGATGAGGTAGGATAAGGATGAGGGAGAATGAGGATGAGGTAGGATAAGGATGAGGGAGGATGAGGATGAGGTAGGATAAGGATGAGGATGAGGATGAGGGAGGGTGAGGGTGAGGATGAGGATAAGGATGGGTGAGGATGAGGATGAGGATGAGGTAGGATGAGAATGAGGATGAGGTAGGATGAGGATGAGAATGAGGATGAGGGAGGATGAGGATAAGGATGAGGATGAGGTAGGATGAGGATGAGGTAGGATGAGGATGAAGATGAAGGTGAGGATGAGGTAGGATAAGGATGAGGATGAGGGAGGATGAGGATGAGGGAGGAGATGAGGATAAGGAAGGGAGGATGAGGATGAGGGAGGATGAGGATGAGGGAGGATGAGGATGATGAGGGAGGATGAGGATGAGGGAGGATGAGGGAGGATGAGGATGAAGATGAGGATGAGATGAAGAGGATAGCAGGGAGCAAATCAATGTACATTTCCCTCTTGGGGTCAAGATTGGATATGAATCACAACGATCCCAGAATCCCCGCGCGTTGGAAGGCCCCTCAGAGGTAATTCTGGATAGCTTCTACTCACTCAAACATCTATTAAACGCCTACTGTTTGCAAGACTCTGCAGTTATATACATTATTATATGTAATAATAATTAGCATTTGTAAAACTTATAAAACATTTTAGATTAATTCATAACATGTATTATATTAATGTAATATATATATATATGCATCACCTATTTGTATATATTTGCAATGCCTTGCATGTATCCTACAATCTAGGTATATGTGGATATATGCATATTTTAGTGCCTTGCATCCATCACATAATATATGTGTATATATATATATTATATATAATAGTATGTTATCATTATATTATAATTATTATATATAATACTATATTATATATATATACACACACTATGTTAACTATTTTATTATATGCTGTCAACCAATACCGTTTGATCTAAGAAAGACAAACGAATTCAGTTGTCTGTGCATTTATCTTCTCTCAAGCTGGCAAAAGGCTGGGCTCCTTTGGGGCTGGGGTATACAGTATATATATCCTTCGAAGAGTAAGTGTTCCCAAGTGTTCCCAACTCTTGGTTGGTTGACCCTCTGGGAGGTGGGCTACATTAAAATGAGGGTCTTGGGGGTACTAGGTCACCTAAATCTTGGCCAAAGAGACATGAATTTCCATATCTCCTGTCTTGACAGTAGGGTGAATCAACATTTTCTAGACCTGTCTGAGCAAACACAATGAGCAGGAATATACCCATTAGCCCAAACTTCCTCTGTCTGCCCACACTACATAGTTTCTAGGTAATTGTCCTTTTGGTGGAAATTCATGATTTAGCCAACACCTCCGGCTTCATAGGTGCTCAGTCTGCCTCCTCATTAGGTGATTCTGATTCACAGGTCAGTTCAGCTTCATCTGGATAGTGAGGAAGTTCAAGCAGATCAAGGTGGTTAGTAAGGTCATCAACCATTCCACTTTCACAAATGTCACAATTTTTACAATGTATTGTATGTATGTATGCATTATATAGTATATATCTTTAAGTGCCTTGCATATATCAATATATATTGTGCTAATTTAATATATGTATATGTGCATTATATGTATATATTTGCAGTGCCTTACATGTCATATATGTATTATGTCAACTAATTTATGTATATTTGCATTATATATGCATATATTTTCAATACCTTGCATACAGCACATAATGAATATATATACACATTAATATAGATATATAATATGGGGGGGGGGTTGGCTTCAAGATTATGTGCCTGGAATTCTCACCTTCCTCATCTTTAACTCCTGCCTTCCTTAGAGTCCCTGCTAAAATCTCTAAGAAGCCTTTTCTCACTCCACTTAATTCTAGTCAGGGGTGAGAAACCTGAGGCCTCTCGGTCACACATGGCCCTCTAGGTCCTCAAGCGTGGCCCTTTGGCTAAATCCAAAATCCGAAGGTTACCCTCCCCCCATCTAGTTCCTTACTTCTGTTGATTACCTCCTATTTATCTGTCTCCATATTTTTTGCACATAATTGTTTGCACGTCATCTCTCCTATTAGACTGTGAGCTCCTTGAGGCCAGGGACTGTCTTTTGCCTTTCTTTGTATCCCCTCTGCTATCACATGATAGGTGCTAAATAAATGCTTATTGACTTGACTTTATTATTATTACTAGAATATAAATTCCTTGAGATCAGGAACTTTCTGACTTACTATATTTATATCCACAGTGCTTGGCATATAAAATACTTTTTCATTCATTCATTTGGGGGAAGAAACTTAAAATTAAAAACACCTTGTAAACATTGTCTCATTGGATTGGGAGGCAGCCTTGGAGTCAATCCTCTAGAGATTTAGCACTGAAATTAGAAAGATCTGGTTTCAAATCTTGCCTCTGGCACATTCTAGCAAGGTGACTCTAGGTGAGTCAAAACATCTCAGCACCCCAGGCATCTCATAAAACTATTCCAATTCAACTAGCATTTATTAAGCGTCCTCTACCAGCCACTGTGCTAATGATAAATTCCCCTAGAATAATCCCTGTCTTCATTGAGTTTACATTCTAGTGGAGAGAAAAACAACATGTAAATTCAGTTGTAAAGGATCTGAAGTCCCCACACATAACATCACAGGTCCTGTTTGCCCCCTCCAAAATATATTTTTTTAAACCTCATTGGATCCCAGCGTGATGTTAACTTCAATGACAATAATGTTAATAGCTTATAATTAGATTAGGGCAGCTAAGTGGTACAGTGGATAGAATGCCAGGCCTGGAGTCAGGAAGACTCATCTTGCTGAATTCAAATCTGGCCTCAGACACTTTCTAGTTGTATGGCCCTGGGCAAGTCACTTTACTCTGTTTGCCTCAGTTTCCTTATCTGGAAAATGAGCTGGAGAAGGAACCACTCCAATATCTCTGCTAAGAAAACCCCGAATGGGGTCACAAAGAGTCAGTCAGATACAACAGCAGCGACCACAGCAAGGATCACAGAATTAAGAGCTAAAAAGACCCAGGAGGTCTTTTCCAAGCCCCAGTGCTTGACATGTTTTGTCTCATTGGATTCCAACATGACATTAGTTAGGACTCGCTCAGAATTGGATTGGAATTCAGAGCCTCCTAATCCAATTAATACCTGAGACACTCTTTGAAGTTATCCCACACAAGTAATAATCCACTCTCTTCGGAGAGGAGAACCCCTCTACCTCCGGAGGTAATGGGGCTTGAATTGGTAGAAGGTTTGCCTTAGGTTGATATAAGCCAGAATCTGCCTCTGCCACTTCTATCCAATGCCTTTGATTCTGCCTTCTGGGGCCAAAAAACAAGGCTAATCTCTGTCCCCTAGAACAACTGCTCAAATATTTGAAGATAAGTGTCATATCTAGCCTAAATCTTCCACAGGCTAAACTTCCACCCAGATGGTATTTATTAAAGGCCCATGGCATTCCAGGCATGGAATACAAAGACCAGTGGAAAACAATTCTTGCTCGCTGAGGTTTAGATTCTGCTGGGGGTGGGGGAGAAAGAAGAGTCATACAATA